GGCGGGGTGCTGTGGGCCGGCGGCGGCGGCGTTTCTGTCAGGGCCGTCCCACCGCGGCCGCCGGTCTGCCTCTCTCGAGTCGGCGGGCGCTGCGGTAGCCGGGCCTGGAGGAGCCGCCGCCACCACCGCCATGCACGACGCCTTCGAGCATGTGCCGATCCTGGAGAAGCTGCCGCTGCAGATCGACTGCCTGGCGGCCTGGGGTGAGCCGCGGAGGGGGCCGCGGCGCTGCCGCCCCTGAGCCGCTCTTCTCTCCCGTCCCGGGCGGCCGGGGCGTCCCCTCAAGCCGGTCTTCGTCCCTGGGGGGGGCCCTGGGGTGGCCGTGTCGCTCGGTCCCCGGCCGGTGGCCCTGCCGCCTCGCAGGCCTGGGCGTGCGGGGAGCGTCTCCCCGCCTTTCGGCTCGTTGCGTTGGCTTCGGTGCCTGCAGCCGAGGGGCTACCGGGGCCCAGCTCCGCTCGCCGGGGTGCCGGTGGTCACCCACGGCCCGCAGCCTTACCCTCAGTGCCGCTGAGGAGGAGGCTGCCATCATTCCCGGTGCTGTAGCTGCCGGCCGGTTCCTTTCCTGCGTAAAAGCAAGGAAACCCAGAGATACTTGCCTGTGTCTTGACTAAAATTTATCTCGGAAAGACAGTGGTGTGTTGAGGTCTTCGGTTTAGAGTCTGTTTGCATGTGTTAGTGGCATGTAAATGTAGGTTATTTTTTTTTTGGGCAGGCTTAACAGTCAAGGTTTTGGTCAGCTGATTGCACCAGCTGTCATAATGATAAGGCTTGATTAGGCTTTTCAGGCGGCTTGAGCAGTTCCCATCAGAGGTACTAATGTGGCACAAAATTGGAAATTAGAAAAAAAAACCTTCAGACACCGCAGAATTGTGGCCCCTTTAATCTAAGAACAAAATTATAACCTGATTAGTAGTGCCACACTGAAACTTGAGTTGTTTATGCTGGAGTCGTGTAGCAGAGAAGATGTGAAGAGAGTTTATTCCTGCTTTGAGGCTTTTATCTCTTTGAAAGCATTTATTTTGCTGAAGTAGAACAAAGTCTAAACCCACAGGTTTGTGACAGTGTGGTTATGTAAAAAGACGTGTAATTCTGGCTCTACAGCTTTTCTACCAAATAGTGGAAGAAAAATCTTGCAGGAAACAAGATTTTATTAAAAGACAAACGTCTTTGGTAATGAGAGAATACTAGATATAGAAAGAAACATTGTGTATGCTTCTTACCTATATGATGTTCACAAGAAGGGTGAATTTCAGTCTTATTTCATGACCCAATAAAGATTCTATTCATTTCATATGCTATAAACGCTGTAAATAGGAAGAGTATAAAACTCCACCACAGAATTTTGTGTGTAAAAAAGTTCTCTTTTATCAATCTTGAATGACTGCTGGTCATCCAAGGGATTCAAATCCCTTGGATTCAAACTTGGGCAAAGCTGCCACTGCCCTTCCAGGCATTCCTGACTATTTCAGAGAGTTCTTTTAAAAAAGTAACTATTTTTTAAAAAAACAAAGAAACAAAAAAAAACCAACCCAAAACAACCAAACAAATGCACATAGAACTCCTTGTTGTTTTTTTTTTCCTGACAGTTCTTCCCATTATGTAGTAGTGTTCTCTCTGGGAGGTAGTAGTTTCTGAAAATAGTTAAGTGCCTCTTTTGATTGCACACAAGATAACAATCGTTTTCTTCTTTACCTTTGTATAAACAAGTGGCATGTGGTGTCTGGGCTGTATTCTCTGTTCCCTTCTCAGAATGAAAACTACTTTGAGCACTTCCACCAGAAAGAGGATAGAAGGTCCTCTAGTGTTCGAAACAAGTTTCCAAGTGTTGTGATAAGTGTAACTTGACTTGGAAGGACTTCGTTGAAACTAATTAGGCTCTTTTTCTTCCCTGTCTTTGTAGAAGAATGGCTCCTTGTTGGTACCAAACAAGGGCATCTTCTGCTTTACAGGATCAAGAAAGATGCAGGTAAGTTGATTTTAAGAATGACACAAAAAGTTGATTACATTCTTTTTATTTCCTGCCTTTTAAGAGGCTGTAGTGATGTTAGCACAAGTGTGTTCAGTCGCTGATTCTTTCCTATGTAAAGTTGAATGAATATTTGTGTGGGATCTTTCATGAAAATGTATGTACCATTTATATTATTAAGAAAGATAGCAAGTAATATTAGCCTTTTATTTTTCTGTTTTAAAGTATGTTTTATATCAGATCTCCATATGTTTGAATTTATTAAGTTAGTGTAATTTTTGTGAGTAGAGTGCACAAACATGCACAAAAGCAGTGTGATGTGCAAATTGCCAGAAGCTTGATGTCTTCTGTTAATGAAGGACTGGATTAGTGAAAGAGCAACTTTCTTCAGTGGGTCCACGAGCATCAAGGGGTGGGGAAGAGGGATCCCTCTGAAATAGTTCTGTCATGTGTTTATTCTTCTCCCTGCCTCTTTGACAGTCATAAGTGTTTATAGCCTATGCTAGAGATGCCACAAATAGAACTATTCTATAATTGGTTTAGTTAAAATTGATTTTCACTAAACAGATTTGTATTTTGCATTATCTGCTATTATGTAGAAACTGATGTTATTGAACACAGTAATGTTGTGTAGTGTGGGACAGGAAATAAAAAAAAAAAAGCATCTGTTTCCATCAGCTCTTGGAAATATATTCTTTGTAGCTACTTGTATTCTGGAGACTGAATTCAGTTTGCTTTTCTAAACCTGTAGGCTGTCTGTTCCAATCAGAACATGCTAGTCTTGAGTTGCTAGTGTCTTATCTCATGTGGTAAATTTCTCCCCCTTTTTTGCATCAATGCCAGGAGAGGTTATGTCATCAGAAAGTGTCTGTAAGTCTTTATCCCTAAAACTCCTTTTAAACCCTTGTGGTGTAGTGTTTATTCCTTGTCTACTTTGCAGTGATGTGCTCCCTAGCAATTTAAATTGCTGATATTTGATTGATGTGGATAAAGTCTTTATGAGTATTTTTTGTATCTCTGGGTTTCAAAATGCTTAAATATAATTCTTGTAATATAAAATTCCAACAAGACAAAAATGTAACTATTGATGAGGCCCTCGGATGGGCACAAGAAGTGTAATTTACATTTTCACCTGACTATGTAGAAGACCTTCTGATGCATTTAGCTATTAAGTAAAAGATAGCACAGATATGTTAGAAAAGTTATTCTTTTAGTGTTAAGTGGCCAAGTTTGTTTCCATAATTCTTTGTAATCTATTTAGTATAATATATATGCAGTCATAAATTTAAGGGCAACTTCAGCTTACATAATCTCTCAAATCTTTCTGGTAGGTTGCAATAGGTTTGAAGTGACACTAGAGAAATCCAACAAGAACTTCTCAAAAAAGATTCAGCAGGTAGGAAATACTATCTTCTTGGTGAGGGGACAGTTTCCCAGTTTTTTCAGCCAAGAAATGAAATATCAAATGTACTTCTGAAGTTTCTACTAAGCTTAACAAAAAAAATTCCCCAAAACTATAGGTTCTTCTAGAGGTGATACAACCTGGTGTTTTTGTCCATTCTTCCCATAACAGGAATAAGCTTGGTTTGGTTGATAAAGCAGAAAAGAAAGAATTGGAACTTAAAGCTTTATTTTTGGCTTTTATGAAATGCTGTTGTTAGCAATAAATCTTCAGCTGCTCTGACTGAGAATATTTGTAAAAAATATGGTAATACACCAACAGAGTGTAATATATAATTTGACTCTGATAAAATGTGAATGTAATTCTTCTTGCTTGGAATGTAGAACTAAAGTAATTGATTATCCACTTCCAATCTCACTACCATTTCTTTTTTTTTTTTTTGGGTGATCTTTCACTCTATTATGTTGATACTTAGGAAAGCACTTACCTCAAAGGTTATGCAGCCTCTTTCAGCAACATTCTGCATATACTTTAGAAGTACTTCTGTACTAGTAACATACCACTTACATCATTTTTTTACCAGCTTAGGCTGCAAGCTCTGTGTGTTTGCTTGTAAAAAGTGACTATAAGTGAAAGGGGTTGCAATAGCTGGAGGAAGGTTGTGCATAAATATCTGCTGTTTTCATTATTTTGGGAGTATCTAAGATGCATTTCCTTAGACTATCTATAATCAAGCCTTTTTCAGAGGTTTACTTTGAGTGGAGTTCACTAATAGAATTCTTTCTTTCAGATTCACGTTGTTTCTCAGTTTAAAATTCTGGTCAGTCTATTAGGTAAGTGAAGAAAATGTTTTAATGTTTAATGAACTCTTTTTGATGCAGTTACTTGGCTGAACGTGGCACCCTTTCTACACACCTGCGTAGTAGTCTAGTTGTTGAAAAGTCATTGGGTAGGATTTAGGCTTTTTCAGTTTGCAGAGGAAGCATTGTGCAGCATAGATTGAGAGGCAGCTTTGCTTGTTGTAAGCCAGCTTGGAGAACAAAGTATTAATGCTAAGTTTTGCAATTAAAAATGAAAATATACATATGTGTGCTAAAGCATGTGTGTATATATACATGTGTGTGTTTATATATATAGTTTGTGTTGGCATGTGTATATATACATATATACTTACATGCATGTGTATGTGTGTGCACCGCATGAGAGGGGCTAAAACTTCTGTCCAAACTTGTTTGATATATGAGACCTACTGTTGATGTGTTACACCAAATTCAATCTATATGCAGATGGTGATCTTTTACCATCTTGTGGAAGATCTGAGTTTGCTTGTCTCTGGCTGGCAAACCTTATGATCTTCCTATGTCTTTTCTTGCTTATGTTGCTACTCCCTTCTTTATGATCTCCAAGTCCCGGCTCTTCCGACTCCAGCATGCGTAGATTTCTGCTGCCTGCGTCCTCGTGCGTACAAAAACTTGACCACAGTACCCTCCATTTGAAACTCTTCACTTTCCACTAATTTCAGGAGCCAGTTCAAAATGGTCTTTATTCTACAGTCTTCCATCATGAACTTGCTCTGCTCTGACCTGCTTGCTGTCCCTTCCACTCCCACTTCCTCTTCTTGGGTAGCACGTGTTCTCAGTACCCTCATGTAATTTGGCCAATGCTGGTGTTAGTTGTTTTTTCTGCATTTGTTATTTTGGTTTTGTATGTGCTTCAGCACTTACTTTTCAGCTTTTGGGAAAACATTCCTTTTCCTTTCTTGCAGCTCTTAGTTTCACAAGTTCTTCTTTTTATGTAAATGTAAAATGTGATAATTTATTTGAATAGGCAATGAGCTCTACATGTATTAAATATTGAATAATAATTGGAATTTTGTTTAAAACAGAAAATAACATTTATGTCCATGACCTGTTGACGTTTCAACAAATCACCACAGTTTCCAAGGCAAAAGGTGCATCTCTCTTCACTTGTGACCTACAGGTAAGAGGAGGTGCACAACAGCACAAATGTCCTTGCTGTTTGTAATAAGAATAAGTTTTTTATGTCGCTGTATGGATTAGGTTTGTTAATTTTGTGTTACAAGTTGTTTGGGTACTAGTGCTTTTTAAAATTAGCACATAATGGATGTTGAAGCTTTGTTTAAGGCAACAGTTTTTAATGTAGTCAACTTAGTTTTTTCCTGTGCTTCATAAGATGTCTTCCTCTGCCTGTTATGATTGTAGCCTTTAATCTCCTGACACAAAATTGCAAGGCATTTGCATATCCTGTGGTTAATTTGATTGGGTTCTTCTTTGAAAGGTCATCTTCCAATATAAAAGCTGTTTCCTTCCCTTAAATCTAGGTCATAATAGTTTCCTTTGCCAAACATCTCCATCACTGTCTTTATTATATTTTTGTTTCTGTTAAACAGTATTGGCCTAAGGAGTCGTCCCAGGGCCGTTGTGGTAGATTCAGGCCATAAAATGGTTCTATAAGGTGTAGCAATTCTCAGTTCATATGCTTTGATTTATTAAATTACTCACTTCTGTCCAAGTGAGTTTCTTAGCCTACCTATTCAGAAACTTTATTCATAACCAGAAGAGATGGCTTAGTGCTCTTTATCACTTTTTATGTCTTTGCACCATGGGAGCCTAGTGTTAGTATTTTCTAGTAAGTACTTAAGGTTTTCTAGGTGTTAAAACTAGTAATGACTTTCAAAGCACCTTTAAATCTGGCCATTCCAAAGTGCCTTGTTGTTTGTGTGTACAGGCACTTAGATTTTCTATTATTTCTTGCCAAGAAACTTTTCCTATAGGCTAGAATATTAAATAGTTATTAATGTTTTTATCTGTCAGCATTGCGTTGTTCCATTTCCTCCCCTCTCCTACACTGCATAGAGTTCAAGCTATTTATCCTAGTCATCAGGGCTGGGCTGATAGCTCTCTATACTTATCTTCTGTTCGTGTCTGTATGTCTTTGGTGCTCTTTGTGCTTTTTTTTTTTTTTGTATTTCCTTGCTGTCACAATCCCTGCCAAAGTTCATTTTTAAGTATCCCGCCCCCCTTCTCTCTGTGCTTCCTTGTTTAGGCAATGCCCTTCTGGCATGGTTAAACAAAGCTACTCTTCATCTGACAACTTTGCTTCAGGCTGGGGATTCTTTTGGCCCTTTATTATCTTACTTGCCTCTTATTTTGTGAGTGCCTGTGAGTTAAGCCTGTCTACTTTCACAGCAGTCAGATACCGGGGAAGAGGTGCTGAGAATGTGCGTGGCAGTGCGGAAGAAGCTACAACTTTATTTTTGGAAGGACAGAGAGTTCCATGAGCTGCAGGTGAGTTGTGTTGTTTCTGTAGTCTCAGCAGGGAGTGCAGTTGCTCTTCACTGCTTGCTGTGCAGTCCCTGTTACTCAGAAGCACTGAAGACTTTTAGCAGACTGACTCCGGTTGGTTCTGCAGTGATTTGACAAAGCAGCAGCAAATCAAAGCGAAAATAAACGGTTGAAAGCACAATTAATGGCATTAATACAGGTTCATAACTTAAATCAAAGGCTGTGTTCTATTTTAACATTCTGGTTGTAGCATGCTTGCAAGTCAGTGAAACGTGCTAGTGTGCAGCAGTTTTCCAGGTATGTCATAAAGTCAGAAGGTAGTTACTGACAAGAAGTATAGAAAATTGCACTTGTGAATACCACAATGATAAAAATAAGCAATGGAAATGGGTAGAGAATTTTTCAGCTATGCTGGTCTTCTAGAAAACTACCAGCTAATTCTGGGCATGCCTCTTTACTGTGCAGGAATCTCGCCTTTTAATTGAATACTGCCATTCCTTGACCAGCACGTCAGGCGTGTGTGGTAGGGAATACAATGTCAATTAACAGTACTTTCTTTTACACTCTGTGTTGCTAGATTTGACTTCTGCTTTTCTCTTGTAACAGCAATTTTAACCTGTTTTCCCTGTTTTCCTCAGGGAGATTTCAGCGTACCTGATGTACCCAAGTCTATGGCCTGGTGTGAAAACTCCATCTGTGTAGGCTTCAAGAGGGACTATTACCTGATACGGGTAAGACTGGGGTTTGCAATACAGTGTTAAAGAGGATTTGGATAGCTGTAGACACAACAGAGGCTGTCTTTGTGCTCAGGGATTTATCTAACAGACATTTATGAAAAACAGCATCTGGTGCTCTTGCTATATGTGGTTTTGGAAGGGCAGTCTAAGTCTGTCCCTTTAACCTGATGTTTTGTCAGGAATTGATCTTCTGTTTATTGCTGTTGAAAACAGTGTTTGAAGCTCTTGCAGACGAAGGGCATCAGAAGAGATAGATTTTGGTTTGGCAGCAGTTTATGTAAGCTCAGTTTGCATTTTATTTAATGTATTAAGCAAAGAGATGGCTCTAAAAGGGAAAAAGGACTAAGAATATCTTCTTATCTGGCAGACAATGGAGCTTAACTGTTTTTCTTTTTTTTTTTTGATTCTCTTGTTGAACTGAAGTCATTTCAGTTTGAAAGTCTTTAAATTTACTGTCATCAATTTAATATTGCAGTTTCCACTTATGCTTCATTTGACAGCTATATTTAATTCTCTCTTCTGCCCTTACAATTGACTGAAGATGAGGTGCACCACTCATAAATACATGTACATACATGGGTGGTAACACTGATCTGTACAACAGGAAAACTGCACATTAATTTTTACAGTCACTTCAAACTGACACCGCTCGCAGAAGTGATGCCTTTCTGCAGATGTTGATTCCTGCCTGTTCTTAGATCAGCTCATGGAACAGCTTTTTGGATTATTTGTTTTTTTTATTTGTTGGGGGTGGGTTCAGTTACCTAGACAACATGTGGCCCCCCCACTAGGGCAGGGGAAAAAGGCTAGGCACCTTGCTAGGTTTTTTTGTTTGTTTTATGTGTGATAATGCTCACTCATGCCCGAATAGAATCATGTTAAAATTTTGGCCTAAACAAAATCCTCTGGTCACATCAAGAAGTGTTTGGACACTTTAACTGATGTTGCTACCGTGCTATGCATTTTATAAACCTGTATGAATTATATGCTCAGCTACTGTTATAGTAACAGGACTGCATCATCTCAGACACAAAAGTACTAATTCTTTCTTTCCAAATGACGTACAAGCAATATAAATGATGATATGCAGAAAGTTATATTGCTACTCTTTAAAATTGCACACATCCTGTTAGTCGTTAATCTGGGTTGTAAATCCCTCTAGGGGTTTTTTGGCTTTGGTCTTATGTAATAAATGTTTGAAATAAAGGTTATTTTCAACAACAGGTTTTTTATTTTCTTTTTATCCCAGGTGGATGGAAAAGGATCCATCAAAGAACTGTTTCCTACCGGGAAGCAGCTGGAACCATTGGTAGCACCTGTAGCAGATGGAAAAGTTGCAGTTGGCCAAGATGATCTAACAGTTGTGCTCAACGAAGAAGGGATCTGTACTCAGAAATGTGCCTTGAATTGGACAGATATTCCTATAGCCATGGGTGAGAATTAGCAGTAATGTTGTTTTAAACCTGCTTTGTATATGACAAAATCGTTAGCTGGATTTTCAGCGTGACAGGTTCTAAAGTATTTCAAGTTGTACTCTGTGGAGTGCTTGATGTGTCTATTTTTGTTTCTTTCCTTCCTTTGCTTGTAGCCTGCATGCCTGTCTCCTCAGAAAACAGGCATATTGCATGTCTTTTATGGAAAAGGTTTGAGATTGAAGGTAGTGTGTTTACGCACTATATTTCTGGGCACCTGAGCACCACAGAAATTCCTTATGTTGAAAGATGAACAAAAAGCCTGGTTGTAGTCTGTTAGCAAACTGCTGTCAGCCTTGGGAGATTGAGCTTTGTTTTTAATAAGTAAAAAAGGGACACATTTCAAGGGAAAAAAAAAGAAATTGAAGAGAAGCCTGGCTTTAAGTCATGGATTGTTTTAAGGAATATTTGAGAACAATCAATTTACATTTTTCATTAATAAGTAAAAAAGGGACACATTTCAAGGGGGAAAAAAAAAATTGAAGAGAAGCCTGGCTTTAAGTCACGGATTGTTTTAAGGAATACTTGAGAACAATCAATTTACATTTTTCACTTGTTTCATTAATAGAACACCAGCCTCCCTACATCATTGCTGTTCTGCCAAGGTACGTGGAGATCCGCACTTTTGAACCCCGGCTGCTGGTACAGAGTATTGAGCTGCAGAGACCACGCTTCATCACCTCTGGAGGGTATTTAGTATAACTGATTATTACTTTTTTTGGGTGTATGGTAGCACTCTGGAAAACTTGGGGAGGAAGAGCTTTTCTAACTCCCTCAGCTTAAGAAGTAGCATTGAAGCAGTCTGTTGTTTTTTATGAAAAGATGGGTGGAGGCCATACCTTGAAGAGTAAGTGTCAGAGTTGAGTGTCTTTGGGAATTTTTGATCACTGGAGATACATTCTTCTTCTTTGCAATATTTCTCAAGTTGCCCTTGTATCTGATTGATCCATGTGTTTATTAACCAGGATTGGGGTTTTTTTTCAGATAAGGAATTGCTTCTTTCTCAGTGCTGGACTTTAGTAAATGACCTTTTTGTCTTGTTTCCAGCACGAATATTATATATGTGGCAAGTAATCACTTTGTGTGGCGGCTCATTCCGGTGTCCATAGCCACGCAGATCCAGCAGCTTCTGCAGGACAAGCAGTTTGAGTTGGCTTTGCAGTTGGCAGTAAGTACTCAAAAACCTTTGGGTTTGTAGTGGATGCACTTGTGCACAAGTACACAAAAGGATGTTTGCCTTCTGCTTAACTGTAGCTAGTTTGGATACTTTAATCTTCTTACTGTCCACTTTGCTCAAACTTGTAAATTCTAGCCTTTTTTTGACTTAAGTTTTGGTGCTGTGCTGCCATTTCTCCATATTGATCTATTGTGGTTTAGATTTTGAGATATAATCTTGTGTGAAAGATTATGTCTCTTAGCTATTTAATCTTCTTTTAGACTTTGAAGTCAGTTGGACTTCAAAGTCTTCAGACTGCTTGTAAACAGTTTTGCTTGGAGTTGTGTGGTTTCTGTCAAATGACTAGCTTTTTCTTATAATGGCCCTTCATGTTACTCCTGAAACATAATAATTTTTTAGAGATGCTGAAGCAGTGTGTTTAATTCTGTTGCTCATACTGTTTTAGGATTTTCTGATTTTTTCAGAAACTTCCCTGGAATTACATTAAGATGAATTAATTGCATTTTGTGTTGCTAACTTGAGAAAAAAATTTTGAAAAGACAAATAAGTAAAGACATAGTTGCTGTGATTGAGTGAGTGTATAGATAACCAGAGGCAGCTTTCAAACCTTCTAGCTTTTTTTCAGAAACTTCCCTGGAATTACATTAAGATGAATTAATTGCATTTTGTGTTGCTAACTTGAGAAAAAAATTTTGAAAAGACAAATAAGTAAAGACATAATTGCTGTGATTGAGCGAGTATATATAGATAACCAGAGGTAGCTTTCAAACCTTCAGGTTTATCTCAGTGACACAAGAAGCGTGGTATCTGAGAGTTGCCATCATAGGTGTTCACTTTGGAAGATTATTTTTCTTCTTACTCTTTCCAAAGGATAATACTCTGTTATTTCTGTAGAGTGTTTCCTTCTCATTTACCTTGCCCAAGAGTTTTCAATGTTGATTAATTGTTGATTAATGTTCATTAATTAATTGATTAATTTGTATGTGTGCAGGAAATGAAAGATGATTCAGATAGTGAGAAGCGACAACAAATTCACCACATAAAGAACCTCTTTGCCTTCAACCTCTTCTGCCAGAAGCGCTTTGATGAATCTATGCAAGTTTTTGCCAAGCTTGGTACAGGTAAATGCTGGGGTTGGCATTGAGATTCCTGGGTTAGGGAGAATGAAAAAAAAGTTCACAATCTGATGCAAGTTTTTGCCAAGCTTGGTACAGGTAAGTGCTTGGGCTGGCATTGAGATTCCTGGGTTAGGAAGAATGAAACAAAGTTCACAATCTATTGTGGTTTTTTGTTTGTTTTCTGCTTGTTTGTGTTCTAAAACAGTGTGTCTTGAGCAGTCTCCTCTGTATGGCAAATAACCTAGGCAGCTATTTGTCTGGTTTTTGTGAAACTGGTTATAGTGCTTAATTAATTCCAGTCAGTGAGTTAAATAATGAATTTGCCCTTTGTGCAGAATATATTTGTATTGTAGGCTGTTTTACAGTGAGCATAGCACGTACACAGACCCTTGAGGTTGAGGGTTTCAGCAGCTGCCAGAAGCCTACTTGTAGCTTGGAATGAAAAATAAGGAACATCTGTAGATTTGCTGTGGTTTTTTGTTTGTTTTCTGCTTGTTTTTGCTCTAAAACAGTGTGTCTTGTGCAGACGTGTCTTGAGCAGTCTCCTCTGTATGGCAAATAACCTAGGCAGCTATTTGTCTGGTTTTTGTGAAACTGGTTATAGTGCTTAATTAATTCCAGTCAGTGAGTTAAATAATGAATTTGCCCTTTGTGCAGAATATATTTGTATTGTAGGCTGTTTTACAGTGAGCATAGCACGTACACAGACCCTTGAGGTTGAGGGTTTCAGCAGCTGCCAGAAGCCTACTTGTAGCTTGGAATGAAAAATAAGGAACATCTGTAGATTTGCTAAATCCTTAGACTTGGACCAAACTGAGGGACCCCTAGCCCTATTTCCACCTTAATGGACCAAGCTGCTGAAGCCAGGAAAATTTTCTGTGGTTTTGGAAGTTAAAATAGCCTGATGCTATTTCTCTGGTTTTTGCTAGGATTATTGAAAGAATACCTGAAGACTGGACTGTACCAGAGAATAGTTCTTAAGACTGAGGATCTTTTATCGGTGACAGCACTTCCCCTGTGCATTTAAATGTAGAACTTTTACTTGTTTTGAGACACTCGACATCATACTTACTTTGAAAAACTACAATGGAAGAAAAGGGTTGAGAACTCAAAATACTTTGAACTTAAATTAGAGGGCAGTAATTTTGAATTTGCTTAGACTCCATGAAAATGTGTGCTCATTAGCTACGGAAGGTGCTATTCAGTTCTTGTTTCAAAAGCACAGTAAATCTTCTCTGAAAACACTGCTTGTTCCTAAAAATCCTGTCCTACTGCCAGAGTTGTTAATGCTGGGGTTCTGGGAGAAGAGCAGTAAGAGGATTATAATAATGGCTTGTCCTTCAGGTGTGCCAAGTGCACAGCTTGGAACTTGTTGCGCTTGGACTTTGAAACAGTCTTTTTCTTGCCTCTTTAGCCTTGTTTTAGCTTAATTTCTTTAATAAGCAAATTTTGTTATCTGGAACCTTGGTGGATATACAAGTTGACTACCAACAGCTCTGTTGGAAAGCTAAGCTTGTTCAAAGGTTACATATATTTAAGAGTTTGCAAAAATAATGTTATGAATGGTTACTAATACTAGTTATTTTTTGCTTAGATCCCACTCACGTGATGGGTCTGTATCCTGACCTCCTGCCCACAGATTACAGGAAACAGCTACAGTATCCCAACCCCCTGCCAGGGCTCTCTGGGGCAGAGCTGGAGAAGGCACATTTAGCTCTGATAGACTACCTAACTCAAGTGAGTGTTCCTATATCTGTTTTTAGAGCAGGATTATTTAGTCTTGGCATACTTCGTTGGCTAGCTTTGTGTAGGAAGCAGCACGCCTACTCCAGCTCTGTAATGCTAGCTGTAAAGGGCTGTCTGCATGGTTGGAAGCTATAGCAATAACTTCTGAGAAAGCAGGGGAACTGGAAGATGTGAGGTGCCCCACGGATATGTGGGAGACATCACATGTGACTTTTGTGAGGGGTGGACAAAATTTACTTATGCACCAGATCTGAATACGAGTCCAATATTTTATTTCTAGTAGCCTTCTGAAGAAAACTTGATCTTTTGTTTTTCTTTGGTGACTATTGTGCAGGCAATTCTATGCAAAAGACAGGTCAAAAGCATGCATTAAAAGGTGGAACTGTAGTGCTTAGTGGTAGTGGTATTTTAACTTCTGTCCTCTTTACTTTGTTTTAACTGGAATCTGAATTTTTCTGTTGCTACTCATAGCAGACTAAAAGGAAGCTTGTGCCTGAAGGAGGATCGATTTTGTGCCTTGTAGTTCAAAATCCAAACTGTTTTCCAAGTGTTTTAAATGTCTCCTGACTTCTCTGCAATGTCTCTGTTCAGGTTAACAGAGTTTCCTTCTGACTATTTTCTCAAGAGTTTCCTTCTGACTATTTTCTCAAGAGTTTCCTTCTGACTATTTTCTCAAGAGTTTCCTTCTGACTATTTTCTCAAGAGTTTCCTTCTGACTATTTTCTCAAGAGTTTCCTTCTGACTATTTTCTCAAGAGTTTCCTTCTGACTATTTTCTCAAGAGTTTCCTTCTGACTATTTTCTCAAGAGTTTCCTTCTGACTATTTTCTCAAGAGTTTCCTTCTGACTATTTTCTCAAGAGTTTCCTTCTGACTATTTTCTCAAGAGTTTCCTTCTGACTATTTTCTCAAGAGTTTCCTTCTGACTATTTTCTCAAGAGTTTCCTTCTGACTATTTTCTCAAGAGTTTCCTTCTGACTATTTTCTCAAGAGTTTCCTTCTGACTATTTTCTCAAGAGTTTCCTTCTGACTATTTTCTCAAGAGTTTCCTTCTGACTATTTTCTCAAGAGTTTCCTTCTGACTATTTTCTCAAGAGTTTCCTTCTGACTATTTTCTCAAGAGTTTCCTTCTGACTATTTTCTCAAGAGTTTCCTTCTGACTATTTTCTCAAGAGTTTCCTTCTGACTATTTTCTCAAGACTCTGGACATCTTGCAGAACTGTAAACTTGCAAAAGAAATGTGTACACCTGAATGTAGTTGGAAAGGTGATGTGTTGAATAGTCAGTAATCATAAAAATTCTTTAGGAAACAATTGATTAAAACGTTATTAAATTGGTTTAATTTAGTATTTTTACTTAGTACATTATATTTGCTGAAATGGGAAGGAGAAATACATGGTCTTTTCCTGTAAAAATTTCATTTGATGTCCTGCAGAAGAGAAGTCAGCTGGTGAAGAAGCTAAACGATTCTGACCATCAGTCCAGTACCTCACCGCTCATGGAAGGAACACCCACGATCAAATCAAAAAAGAAGCTGCTACAAATCATTGATACCACCCTGTTAAAGTGTTACCTCCATGTGAGTTTCTGCCTGACCTAGAGACTTTTCCTTTACCATGCAAACTCTGTTGGAATTTCAGATTGAAATGTTTAAGGAGGAGGACAAGGAGCTGCTTCAGAAATTCTCACTCAACTGTCTGTCTTTGCTCTAAAAATGATCTGTGAAACTTTGGTGTTAGCCAGTTTGCTCACTGGTCAGGAATTAGTTTCATGCAATAAAGCAGATGTGTCCATTTCTGGTTGCTGCATCTGTCTAACAGCAGGACCATCCCTGTGTATTCTGAAGTTTTAAGAAATGCTTCTCCTGTTGCCTTGTACTGTTAAATGCAGGAGAGTACAGTCTTTGCTGTCAATGATGTTTTTCAAAGTTTACTTCTATTCTTGAAGGGGAGTAACTCTGATATATTGTTTTCTTTCTGTCCCAACAAATTATTGAAATGAAGATGGGCCTTGTTTTAAGATGTTAAACTCCTTTCTTATGCTACAAGGCTTCTTTTTTTGTTTTGTTTTTTTTTCTCTTGTCCAGCTCCTGTTTTGTGCTATAAGCTTAGGAGGTGACCATTAGAAGTATGTTTAAGTGCTCCCTTTTTCCTTGCAGACAAATGTAGCACTGGTGGCACCATTGCTACGTCTGGAAAACAATCACTGCCACATTGAGGAAAGTGAGCATGTACTAAAGAAGGCACACAAATACAGTGAGCTGATAATACTGTATGAGAAGAAAGGTCTGCATGAGAAAGGTAGGTATTTGGTTGGGGCAGGAAGAAGAGAAGGGATAGAAGCATGTATTCCTAGTATTGAGATTTAACTTTTCAGTGAGCAGGCAATATTCTGAAGAGACTTTGTTTTCTGTGTCTGTCTTGAGACTAGATTAGTCTTTGTTCCTGTTACTTGTTTGGTCTGTGTGTTTGTTTTGTCTCCGGTAGCAGAACAGGGAAAAAGCACTTTTTTTGTTGTTCAAGTTGGAATGGTACTTGTGGTTACAAAGGCATGAACCTTTTTGTTGTTCTAAAAGCATTACAGGTACTGGTGGATCAGTCAAAGAAAGCCAACTCACCTTTGAAGGGTCACGAGAGGACAGTGCAATATCTGCAGCATTTGGGTGAGTGTGAAGGAGAGCATTGTTTTTGTGAAGGGCTTAGCCATTACTTTCCTGTTTAGCAACTTTCTAGAGACTATCAGGCTAAAGGGTATCCTTGTCATCTTGTCTGGTTTCTTGCATAATGCAAACTTCAAGGATTAATTCACAAGAGTCTTGTTGAAATTTGAGTGTATTATTGGAAAACAGTCCTTATTTCTGCTAAAAATTTCCATTGGTAGAAAATGTGCTGTAGTATTTCAAATTTTCTTCCAGTGATGATTTACCATCATTGACAATAGGAAAGTTGGTTAAGTTTTCCAGCTCAAAGTTGAACTTCTAGTTGCTGGGGTTGTGGTATCTTTCCTGAGACCAAGAAGCCTGTATGAAGATTTTGTTTGCTGTGTTTGGGTAGATCTAGGTCGTGACCTCACATTTGTAGCTGCTGGTCACAGCATCATTGGAGGAAATTGGGAGTTCACAGTGAACAGTCAATCAAGCAAGTCCTTTTTTGTTTTTTTCTACTTTTGAGACTAGTCCCCTCTTATCCAATAATATTACTTATTTCTAAATTCACAACTCTTTAAAAAAAGATATCGCGCTATTACTTTGGGAGCAAGTGGTTTATGAGGGAAATAACTTTGTTCAGCTCTTAAACTGTTGGCAAAGTTTGGTATTTTTTTTTCTATAATAACTTCTTTTAAGAACTGCTGGCTAGTTATTTCTAAATTCACAACTCTTTAAAAAAGGTATCGCGCTATTACTTCGGAAGCAAATGGTTTATGAGGGAAATACCTTTGTTCAGCTCTTATACTGTTGGCAAAGTTTGGTATTTTTTTCCTATAATAACGTCTTTTAAGAACTGCAGGCTTCTATTAGCAATATATTTATTCAATGATAATAAATTACTTACAATGACAATGAAACCTTTCCTGACTGTGTCTTTCTCTTGCATTTCTTATTCGTTGGTGTAATTTGGTAATGTCACTCATCTTAGAGAAGTGTAGGTATGTTATATTCAGCATACAGCTTTACAAAACAAACTTCTAATCTTATTTAAAAAATAAATCTATCATCTTGATAAATTAATCTCGATTGACCTATGTCAGCTGTTCATTTGTTTTACCTGCGATCAATGATGTTTAAGACCTGTAATTAATCCAAGTTGTCTGGAGTACTTTTCTAAAATCTTGGCAACTTGCTAAATTTTTTCAATGATGTTTAAGACCTGTAATTAATCCAGGTTGTCTGGAGCACTTTCCTAAAATCTTGGCAACTTGCTAAATTTCTTTTAAACTCCTGGAGCTTCTGTGTTTTGGAACCTCCTGAAAATCAGTTTTCCTGTTTGCTTCTTGCTCAGCTCTTGAAACTTGATAGAAGGGTATTTGGGTCTGTTCACTACAGAGTAATGAAATACAGTGGAAACAATCTACAAAGTTAACTATTGCTAATAAACAGAATGTTTTACATGAGTGTCACTTGCAGATTCTGCCCCCAAGTAAATAGCAGAAATATAAAGCTGTGTGTGGTTTTTTTTAACTGCACTGTCTGTTCTGCCTTGCCTAATTGCTAAGTGTCATTTCTGGGAGTCCCTTAAATAAGACGATAAATGCATTTCAGACTATGGGGTTTCTACAGATTTTTCCCTCTACCTTCCCTTTGGTGTGGCCTCTGTAGTTATGAGCTTCTAATCTAAATAATAAATGATTGTTGTTTTTTTAATTATCTTTAAAATTTTAATTATGCAGGATGTATTTTTAGTTGCTTTCACTTATGTTCTGAGTGAAGTAGAAACTCTTTAGTCGTATCTTTGTCTCTAGGTATTGGGGCATTTAATGAGATGTTCTTAAATAGTTCTTAGGTAATTAGAGAAAGTCATCAAGTATGTATTACTGATTTGGATTTGATACTTGCCGTGTGTCAATGCAGTAAGCACTTATTGTTTAGTGCATCAAAGCAAATATTAATTGTTGATTCTGTGATTGACCGTGTCCATCAAAACACTTAAATACTTTATATACGCTGAGCTAAGCACAGGAGAATTATTTATTTGATTGGATGGTAGACAGTTTTCTGTATTACACCATTCTTTATCTGTTAAAGTAGTGTTATGCAAAACTTCTTTCTATTATAGCTCATATATAAACTAGGGATGTGTTGCTGAGAAAGTTTAGAAGTTCAGTGTCTGCTTTAATTCTGGCAGCACAAAAGGTCCTTGCCTGTGACCTTCAGTATAAACGCCCCTGCAGCTGAATGTTATGTGCTGAGGGAGCCAGTTGTTTTCTTTCGTCATGTGATGTGATGTTGGCCTTTTAGTATTCTGGTTTATAAACTTTGGTAGTTACTTCATGAGTTCCTCCTCTCCTTCTGCCATTGTGAGTGTTTGAGTAGATTGTAACTTAATATTTGATTTGGTTGTGATTTCAGCAAAAGCAACTTGATCAGTGCTTTGGAAAGGAGCTATTCTGATTAATCTTACACTTGTTTATAAGGAGTTAGACTATTGTTCTACACGAGAACTTACTCCCATGACTTTTCTTATCCTTTATTTACATTTTCTCAGTGAAGCTAGCAAATTCATTACCATATAATGCCCTGTTAATTCAGAAGATTAATTGACCCATGACCTTAGTCATGGTCAATGCCAAGACTTGCCAAGTCACTGCTTTGTGTCTGAAACTTTGAAATTGGCTCTTCTGGGGGCTATTTTAGTTGTTTTACTTCATAGCATCCATCTTCTGGTTTTTGTTTTTTTTGTTTTAAAATTGCTGCTATGAAGATGCTGTTTGTTTTAAATATTTAAAAAGTAACATACTCCTGATGATGATGTGGGATGAAGAAAAGCAGACAATGGCTGCCTTTTGATAGTGTTGGTGTAGGTTTCTGTTTCTTGTATAGTTGTGTTATTTGGGCAGTGAATCCCTCAGTGGTTCTCATCAGGAGGGTGAGGGGAAAGTCATGTTTCCCTAACGTGTTATAAACTTTGTGAACTGAATTGTCCAAATTAAAGTATTCTTTTAGAGAGGGAGGTCCTAAATTTTCTTAAAAGATGAAAAGTTACTACATGTCATGTAGTTTCTATGCCAGTTGTTTCCTACTATGATGCTTTACTACTTGTTATGAAGTGTTTGAGCGTTTGCTATGTCATTAGACTGGTAGGCTGGAAATGGACTGAAGGAAATGACACAAGTGGAAAGTACAGTGCTTTTTCTACCCTGATTTATTAAAAAAAAAAAATTGTAAGGGAAGACTTTTGGAATGTGATTAAGACAACTGAGCTTGGTTTTGGTCTGAGTTGTTTACATTTGGCAGTGTTTAATATTTGAGATAATTCTTGTTTCTGTTTGAAACCGTGTTTGCAAAGTAAAGGAGTTCTGCCTTTGGCCTGGAATGTGTGATTTGCTTGACTTGCATGGGGAGGAAAGACAAACTGGATTCTTCCTGTAAATTTAGCTTTGCTGGCTCTGAAAGCACCTGCTTGTGTTGCGAGTAGGTAGATCTTTAAGATTTTAACATTAAGCACTGCTGCTTTTTGTGTTCCAGGCACAGAGAACTTGCACTTGGTATTCTCCTACTCTGTCTGGGTGCTAAGAGATTTTCCTGAAGATGGACTGAAAGTAAGTGTGGTTGAAAAAGGCAGCTTGCAATTGAGATTTTTAGTACAGTGTATGGAACTGGGTCAACTCAGTGTAAGAAGCCGTGTATTAATGCTAAATCCAATTAAATATATAATTTATAATTTCTATTGTGGTAGGATTATCAGTAGATAGAACAGGATAGCTTTTCAATTTTTATTATCCTTTTCCATCCTTGGAATACTTTATCTTGTAACAAGTACTAGAAACCTTTGATATATTTAATTTTGTTGATGTCACGCTTTTTGCACAAGAGCCTGATTGAGTATTTAAATGTCTTTCTTTTTTCCCCCTTCCTCTTTGATATAGAATTGACTCCCTGTATTTGGGAGGTGTTTGGCACTTAACTAAGGCAAAAATGGGGATGTTGATATCTCAAATGTGAGAACTTCTGAGTGCCTGAATAAGCTGCTCTGATTTATTTTTTTTTTTACTACTACTTGTGCTTACTCTTTGGGCATGCGTGATGATATGCTGGATTTCAGTGCCTCAGAGAAAATACACTGCTGTACTTAAAATTTAAGTAAAAATCACCATGCTGTGAATAAAATTTTGTTTAACAGATATTTACAGAAGACCTCCCTGAAGTGGAAGCTTTGCCACGAGATAAAGTGCTCAGTTTCTTGATAGAAAATTTTAAAAGCCTGACAATTCCTTATCTGGTAAGAACTCAACCTCTAGTAGTGCATGACATTCAGTACAACATGTTATATATAAGGCTTTAGTTCTCCAGGCTTTGGAGCCTGATGCTGTCTCAGAGAATGCTAGCTTTGCTATAAGTTGTGCAAAGAAAAAAAATAATTGAAATACATGAAATCCTGAAGTTAAGCTTGGTAAAGGAAAGTATGGAACTTTTTCTTGCTTAAAACAAATTACTTCCCAGAGGAAGCATCTATCACTGAACCTGACTCTGTATTTACAGGAACACATCATTCATGTCTGGGAAGAAACCGGTGCAGAGTTTCACAACTGTCTGATCCAACTGTATTGTGAGAAAGTGCAGGGATTAATGAAAGAGTATCTAAGTTCTTTCCCCTCAGGTATGTTTAGCCTTAGCCTCACTGGGAACACCAGGGGCATGGGGACAGCACAGGGGAGCCTTTACAGTGTATTGCTCTAAGCCTTCCCTGTTCACATCCAGAAGAAGATATCCCAAGCGGTGAAGAAACTGGAACAACAAAAGTTGTGGGTTTGTAGGGAAGGCTCTAGTTTATTGCCTCACTAGACATCTTAAGGGACCAAGTGACACTGTGTTTGCTATTAAGTGGAATGGCAGCTACTGCTCCCTGAATTCTGCATGTTAAGGGTAGGGAAGGGTCTTGAATAATGGAGTCTATTGTTTAATCAGCCACTTGATGTGTTTTAATGAGTTGATGTAATTTGGCAGATGCATCAGAATCCCAGTCCATGTAACAGTTTAATCAGCATTTGGTTACTGCTTGTAATTATTTATCTATCTTTTTCTGTGTACTAGTGTAGCAAAATAGTTGTAACACTGTAGCTTGTGTTGTTTTCTTCCATATAGATAAAACTCCAGTGCCTGCTGGGGAGGAAGGAGGAGACTTAGGGGATTACCGGAAAAAGCTTTTACTTTTTCTGGAGAAGTCTAGCTGGTATGAACCTAGTCGACTAATAAGTGACTTCCCCTTTGATGGTGAGTTCAGTTTCCATAGATTAATTAAAACCTAGCTTATTGCATTGTACAGAAAAACCTCTTCACTTTTTGTAGAATCCTAGTAACTAGAAGCAGAGAAGATGGTTGTGTCTGTAGTTGTGGGCCACTTAACTCTGTGTTTGCTGGCACAGTTGGATTTACCAGTCTCTGCAGGATTCCTGTAACTGTGGCCTAAGACCTTGTGGTGTCTCCCATCACTTTTAAGATTCAACTGGATGGGGTGCTGGGCCATCTTCTCTAGACCATACTTTTGCGAAGAAAGGTTGGACCAGGTGATCCTTGAGGTCCCTTCCAACCTGGTATTTCATGATGCTGTTGTTCACTTAAATATGTAGTCAAAATATTTGATGAGCCTGAATTCCTCAACAGATCTGAAGTGTGTTGTTTCACATTCATAAAATGTTACTGAGACTAGTGTGAAGTCTTACTGTAACTGTGCTCAGACTACAGTTCATAGTTCCTTCTGTTAGTCTGGTCACTAATGGAGCTCATGTTGTTGTTGTTCTGTGTAGCTGTTGACTACTTCTTTGTGCTATTACTAGGTCTCTTAGAAGAACGTGCTCTGCTCTTGGGTCGTATGGGGAAGCATGAACAAGCTCTCTTTATTTATGTTCACATTTTGAAGGACACCAATATGGCTGAAAGGTAAGGGTTTTTTTGGTTTTGGGGGTTTTTTTTGCAAGACTTAGTTTGCTCACTGCCCTATGGATGAGATGTGTAGTGAAATGTTGCTGCGTGTGGAACATGAATGCTGTAAGCCTTCAGGATCTTCTGGGTTTCCATGTTTCCTTGACTTTTAGGCTCTTCCAGCCTAAAACCTGTCTTAATTACAGCTGATGATGCTGGCACCTTGAGGTTTACCTTTCCATGCTCTTCTGTCATTGCACTTTAGAGCAATATGATTGTCATCAATGACTTCTTTGTTCGCACCTGTTCTATGTGAACTTGTGTATGCTATTTTGTTTCCTTTCTCTTTGGAGAAACATCCACTAGCCCAAATGCAAAGTTAAGCTCCTTCAGTTACCAGAATCCTCTGGTAAAGCTACGAGATTTTGCTTGATATATTGTGTCAGGGAACCTTCTGGGTGAATCTAAAGTACTTATGTGAAAATAGAATTAAGCAGTACTGAGAGGAATAGCTAAACATTGGAGTTTCTTTTAAAGCTGGTTTCGGCAATTACCTTTTAGAGGACATTTAACCCTGCTGTGTGGTGTACATGAACGAACACCTTCTCACTAATGAGTACCTTCTCTTTGTGATTTTCATACAGTAATTAGATATATCTACATGTCTTTTTATGCTGTGATGTGTTGATTGTAGACATCTTTTTTTTTTTTTTTTTTACGCAGCCTAGTTAAAATTTAAGTTGATTGGAAATGGGAGACTTGCACAAAACCTCCCTTTTCTCAGCATTGTAAAGCAGCGAAAATGGTGTGACTTGGTTAATTGATCAGAATTGGATGTACGGTGACCTAACTTGGCTGGCTTCAGTAGTCAAAGCATTTAAATGTTAATTTCTGTGGACTAATGCTCTAGGTTCCAAAACCATCCCTGCATTTCATTTGATTCTTCTCTGTTCTAGCTACTGCCATAAACATTATGACAGAAACAAAGATGGTAACAAAGATGTAAGTACCTTCATCTTTCCAGTCTTCCTTTTCAGTAAGCATGTCTTAGGCTATTCATATACCATGTTAGGGACTTTAAAGTTTTCGCTCTGTATAGACTTTTTCAGGGTTTGTGTAGGGGGACAGGAACCTATATATAAGCTCATGGAATTTAGGAATTACTAGATGATTGGAGTTTTTTTATTTTTTTCTTTTTAAATTAGGTTTTTGTTGAGAATGTTACTCTGTTGCTGAGTTGAGCGCATTTTGTGTAGCTAAAGTTATGATGGAATTTGGAAGGCAAAATACTGTGTGTGCATTCCACATACATCTACAGAAAAGTTAATGGTAAAAAAGTAATGAAGTGTTGGTTTCTAAAAGTTATAAATGAGTTATATAAGAAAAATGAGGGAGGTGTGATTAAAACTACTTTTACAGAAAAACTTTAGTGTAGAATGCAAGTCTTAAAAGGCCTTGGACATCATTAGTACTTTGTGGTTTTTGTTGCTTTAAGGTTAAGAGCTGTTAAAATGAGCACTTTGGAATTTCGAATGGCCTGGGTACAACTTACCTAGTACCATTGCTGGGTTCTGCCAGCACTGTCCATTGTGGATGTGTGCAGTGGTTTCAGAACTTTTCTTTTTGTGTGTAACAGGTCTATCTGTCGCTGCTCCGGATGTACCTCTCCCCACCTAGTGTTCATTGCCTGGGACCAATCAAGATGGAAGTGCTGGAGCCTCAAGCCAATCTGCAGGCTGCTCTGCAGGTTTTGGAACTGCATCACAGCAAACTGGATACCACCAAGGTAAGAAAGGCTTTTAAGTACCCGGTTTGTACTGGTGGCAGAAGGTGACAGAAGGTACTGAAGTAGGCAAAAAGCCGAATTGTAACAGTGTCGAGCTAAATATGCCAATTTCTATTCTGTTTTGGTCTCGATTCCTTTTTAGTTTTTCCTAACTAAGTATATTTTGCTCCAGGCAATAAACCTACTCCCAGCAAATACACAGATTAGTGAGATTCGAATCTTCTTAGAGAAAGTCCTTGAAGAAAATGCTCAGAAGAAAAGATTTAATCAAGTACTCAAGAATCTTCTCCATGCAGAGTTTCTGAGGGTAAGTACCTGCTGCCTGTCATTTTTTGGAATGGCATTTTCAAACAGATGTTTGATATTTAAAATAACTGCTTCCTGTGAGGAATGTGTGTGCTCTAGGTGGTGCTGCAATGCACCTGAAATGATTCAGTGTGCATCAAGTAGGTTGAATGTCCCTTTTTCAGAAGATGGCAAGTACATTAATTTTTGTTTGGATGAGATGTGTGTCTTTGCTGTGAGTCTCTGGACTCTCTGTGCTCTGTTGTGCGTTGCAGAATGGTCTCAGAGAGCATGGGCTGGATTTCCTGCAGATAAACTGAACCAGATGATGCAGTTCAGTAGTTCACCTGAACATCCCCTAGTGGTTAGAATGGCTTAGTTTGGGGACCGGGCTAGTGGAAAGCAAAGTCCTGCAATGCCTATAGTGTGCGTGTTGGTGTCCAGTAGCACCTGCTCTGCTCTACAATCTGGCTTCTTTTGTGCTGTACAACTTGCTAATGTAGATAAAGCCACTGAAAATTAAACTTTGTGACATTTTTCAGTTTCTCCAGACTAGAAGGGAGCTGTGGTGTGGCATTGCTTTTTGAAAAGTTTTGGGTTTTAATTTTTTCTTTAATTTTTCATTTTTTAGGTCCAGGAGGAGCGGATCTTGCATCAGCAAGTGAAGTGCATTATTACGGAGGAAAAGGTGTGCACTGTATGTAAGAAGAAGATAGGTAACAGGTAAGAGAGCATATACCATAAATCTGAATCAAGTATGAATCTGGTACACTTAAACTAAGAATTTTGCAAAACTTGGAATGTGTGTGTGTATATATATATATACAGAGAGAACAGCAGTATGAGGGAGATGTTTGAAGAATGTTTGAATTACAAAATAAATCGCTCAACTGGGTGGCTGGGAAAACATCAAAGCTTTAGTCAGTGAAGTTTACTGCAAGAGTTCAATCCAGCTTTCAACAAAGGAGAATAAAATCCCTTCAGAAACTCGTAAGGTTTCTTACTTCACAACTCTAGAAGACAATGTTGCTTTTTATACTGACTTTGGAAAACCTAAGAACACTGCCTACTAACTGCTTTTTAATTAGAATTGAGAAGGATGTTATAAAGAATCTGAAACTGATATGTGTGTACTAGTTTTCTATATCTGATAGCTTTGTCGTTCCCTGATTGGTTTACATTATCTTAGGATGCCTAATTCACTTGATATGTGGATGCCAATAACTTTTCTACCATTACTAGTAAGTAATTATGAGTTAGTATAGAATGCAAATTTTATTTGCGCTTTTTCATTTTTGAACTCCAGTGAAAGGCCACACAACTGGCTTACTCATGGTTTTCCTTGTTGATAATGAGTCCTACTGAGATATCAGTAGAGTTCACAATGATAGGTTCTGGTGAAACCAGATGAAAGGAAACAAAACATTTTAATGAATATAGGTCTAAATATATTTATTGCTGTGCATATTCAATTTTTTGCTGTTAGTGTGTAGCATCAGAATTTTCATTTGCATATACAGTATTGTTTTGATTGTCTAGGATTTTTCTAATGCTGTTAGATTCAACAAGGTTGTGAAGGGCAAGCATGTCAGCGTGTCACCCAGTTTTTAAATTATTACCAGTGACTTCCAAGTAAAGTGTGCCTATAGACAGGAAAATAGGTATTATTGTTTTAAAAATGAAACTCTTACAAAATCCATAGAGTTCTTTTGTGTGGTTTTCTCAAGAATGTATTCAGGCCTGTTTAAGTTATATTATGTATAATTTAAACAAGAAAGTGTCGCAGCACAGCTTGGATGTTCTTGTTTGAATAGGGAAAACTGTTTGTCTGTATTGACAGTTGATTTTTGTGTTCTGTCTCTTTACAGTGCATTTGCTCGATACCCTAATGCAATCGTTGTGCATTATTTCTGCTCCAAAGAAGTCAACACATTGGACACCTGACCTTGTTATGGTCAACTATCCCAACAACATTTGAAATTCAGAACTGTCGACTTAGAATTTGATGCCTCTGAGATTTTTTTGAGGCTTGTTGCTAGGTTCTCTTACACTGGGTAGAAGTCATCTGTGTCTGTGGACTGACTGAACCTATCTGGCAATATTGATTAACTGGAAAATGACTTTAACCATGTTACTATAGTACTGGCAACTACACTGAACCTCTTGGTACTCAGATGAAGAATAGAAACTGATTTTTGTAGTGAGTTTTGTATTGCACTCCAACCTTGCGAATGAGTTGTTAGACAACTTTTGGGCGTTCACCACAAGTCAAGTTTTACGGTAAAACTTACCTCTTTGGGTGACAATGTTGTGATTTGGCCTTGTATGTAAATAGTTCTTCAAAAAAAGAAAATTCCTTTAAAGTCTTTGCAGCTGTATCAGTGTTGCATGGAGACCGCCAGGTGTTTGGCATAGAGAAGGCTTTTGTGCCTATTTCTAGACCTAGAAAATACAATTTTACTTTCATCTCAGTAATGGGAATGTTGAAGTGTTGGCCAAAGGAATCTTTTTATTGATATTCAGTGTTATCACCTGACCTTCTGATAAGACGTTCCACAGGAGATAGACAAACAGTAGATACCAGTAGTAAGCATATTTTTTTTTCCTTTTTACTTTAGTTTGAGCTGTAAATTGAATTAACTTGTGTGTTATTTGCACTGAATATATTCACTCTTAGCATGACTGAAAGGTCAAAGACTATTCTAAGTCCACATCTGCACTCACATGAAAAAGCAAAGAACACCGTGTAAAGCAACTTCTGAAGGGAGTGAACTATAGTTGTTGCTTGAGCTTCTAGGCTACACTTGATATTTGTATATATAAGTTATTTGGTCTCTGGTTTGCTTTCCAGCATTGAATAAAAAGACTATTTCAGCATCTCTCTATTTTAAATGCTCTAGAACTGCATTCTGCTCAGGCTGGTACTGCTCTTAAATTACTCTTGGGCCAGAGTTCTTAACTACAAGAACTAAATTATACTGTACTCCTTGTAGGCTGTAATATTCTTATCTAACTTATTTTTCCACAAACTTGATAGCAGATTGGTGTGAGGGATATTAAAATGTTTGATCAGTGCAGAAAGAATCTGTGCAGTGGTAATGAAAAGGCAGCAGTAGAAAATAAACCAGTTGAGTGGCTGCTCGACTCCCAACATCCTGGTCTAGCAATACTTATAAATATGTAATTATTAAAAAGTTTGGAGCATGACATGTAACTACCAGATATCGCCTCTTAACGAACAAGTAGATGAATAAACCGGTCTGCCTAAGGTGTAATTGGATCTCAGTTAATATTATAGGTTTACTTAAACCATTGTTATGTTAGAGTTTTTAGGAACGGATCTGCTGTAGGCTGACAAGTCTGACAAGAGTCCTAATTTACTTTCATTTGCCAGTGTTACTACTTTCCCTTGATAACTGTTTTTTCCCTTTCCACACGTGTTTGTATTTATTGTTCATATGCCATGCATTCTTGTGGATTTCTTGGTCCAGTGTTTTGCAACTTCTGTACTTGGATGTCTTGGGCAGTATTGCTACTGATGTCTTTCTGCAGAGGCTGGGTAGAGGGAATCTGTGGTGGTAATGTTTTTAACCTTGTATTTCTTCTATTTGAAGAAGAGAGCCTAAAAATACTTATATTGGATTTGCACATTCTGTATAAATCTTTATATACTAGTTCAGGTACAGAGGGAAGATGGTTTGGGAGAGTTTGTTTACAGGTCATTGAGAATGAAAGAAGGGTATTTAAAAAGGCCCTGTATTCTTTGTATACAGATATAACAATATTGTTCTGATTTTTACCTATCTTATGTTTAGTACTCAAAAGTCTGATTTTTATTTACCTTCATTATCAGATACCGGGAGATCTGTATTCACAGATGAGGATCTTCATTGTGCTCTTACTTACATGGTTACGGTTGTGCCTCTGTTCACCTCCATCACATACCTTTTACAGAGATGGTTTGTGCTGTAACTTTTTTTCGTTGGTTCTTATAATGTGGTTTGGGTTTACTAACTAAACAGCAGGTTTATCTAAAGCAATAGATTGTAATAAATATTGTGAACCAGTGTGTGTTTCAATCATTGTGCAGTTAAGCTTCTTTGGGCTGCTGTAGATTTTTTATTTTTTTTTAATATATTAGTCCTCATTTTCTCCTGAAAGTCAGACCCTATGCAGGGGTTCCCAGTATCACTTCTGCTTCAATATGTGTAATTCAAATGAGGCCATGTCATGAGAGCTGTCATTACTTCTCAACTTTGGTTTTTAAATCTACAAGTTTATAGTATGCTTGTGAATGTTCTCAAAATCCTACTAAACTCACTTTTGTATCCTCTCTTTGAATAATGTTTTTGCAAGTCTTATACCATTAAATATGTACTTATTAGAGAACACTAAAATTACTGACAATTTCTTTTTGAGTGGTGGTATGCTGTTTCAGGGGGATGTTGAGCTTTCTATGACCAAATCAGGAAATGTTTAGATTTCCAGGTTTGCAGTTGCTTGAATTGTAGGTCATAAACTAGTCTAGTTTTGGAAGTAGACCATAGATCTGCAGTTTTCCCATTTCATAGAAATGGGAGTTACCAGCACTGAAGAAGAGTTTTTTGTCTCCATGTTGGACAACTGCATATATTGGTACTTCTGGAGAAGACCAACCCTCCAAAAAAAACCAACTACCCAAACCTTGATAGCATCCTTTGGAATCTTCATCTCTTAAATTATGCATGGCATCTTGGCTCTCCTCTTAGTGCTGCTAATGGGAGCAAAAGGGGACCCTTGCAATATCTACGCACATTTTGAGTACTATATAGTATAGTTGGTTATGGTATTGTTTGTTCATGATGACAAAAAAGTAACTGAATGAAACTGATAGAAATATACCTTTACCACCATGGGGATGCTAATCTGAGCAGAAGTAAAGTTACCAGGTGTGAGGCCGCCTTTTTTTCCTCAGGTTTTGATGCCATTTTGCTTGCTTGTTATCTTTGTCTGTCAGGAAGTGACAAAAGCAAGTAGCTTCTCTTTGGATATTAAGTTAGCTGTCAGTAGTGTCTGTACATAGCTAAAACTGCATGCAAACACTGCTAATAGATGATCTGTTGACTATGAAACAATTCCTAAGCATATTTTATAAAGAGCTTTCAGTTTTTCTTGATAGAGAAATTCAAGAGAAATACTATAAACACGAGATCCCTGTGCTGAGATTTCATTGGAAGAGGAGAGAGGACTTCAGAAGGCAGGTAAACCTGATTTTAAATGCAATTGGGTACTTGCAAGATAAAACACAGGCTTTACATACTGCCTGTAATAAACTGTTTAGAATAAGTGTGATTTCTCCATGTTAGCTCACTGTGTGAGGCTGCCTCAATTTTCCTGTAATTTATGGTTAAGCTACATTAGGTGAAATATAAATTAATCACACTTAAGATTCTGCCATTTTTTCCAAGGTAAATAAAATGTAATACGGCAGTCCTTCACTTTCAATGCAGTGGTATGTAGTAATGCAAAGAAACTGCTTTTTCAGCCTAGTGTCTTATCTTTACCATACCATTTAGTACCATACAAGAGCTTTACAGCAGTTGCTGGCTGTTTTGCAATGGTATTCTGTTTGCTTTTGCCTATGCATTAACTCTAAAGTCCATGAATTCCCTAACTAGTACTGACTTGTTTGTGTTCTAAGTGTCAGTGCCTATGTTTTTAATAATTTTCATAAATTATGATCTAGTGACTGGCACTAATGACAGGAAATGATTAACGAATGGGACCTTGCTGAGAATGTGTCACATTCTCATGTTTGTGTGGAGCTGGTGACATGCTGCAATACGCACTTTAGTACACTCTCTGCCACTTTCTAATTGTTGAAACACTTAAGTTTGTTTTTTTGTCTGCTGCTTCAGTTTAAGCTCTCTAATAATGCTCAAGATAAGCCAACTATCACCAACTGTTAATAAACAAATCACTTCCAGTAAACAATTTTCTTTACTACTTAAATATTTTTTTAAAGGCACAACAGACTCGTAAAACATTTGCGCTATCTGTTGTACAATTTTTCAAGAAGCTTTGGCGGAAGAGTCAAGACTGTGCTGCATGGAAATTAGAATAAAGGGGTGATTTGTGAGGCCGCTCACGTAGGGAGAGGTTAGACGTGGTGGCCAATAACTATTCCCTGAGGAATAAATAAATATTGCAGACCAAATTGTGGTGTCTCTGCTCATGCTTCCCTGAAACTTCTCTGAACAGCTAGTCAATGACAAATTTGCCTTTGCTTCAGGCTTGTAAGGTTGAATCCTCTAAGAAGAAGGTATATTTAGATTAGATATTAAAAAGAAATCCTTTACTGTGAGGGTGGTGATGCACTGGAAGGGGTTGCCCAGAGAAGTTGTGGCTGCCCCATCCCTGGAGGGGTTCAAGGCCAGGCTGGATGGGGCTTTGAGCAACCTGGTCTGGTGGGAGGTGTCCCTCTAGACAGCCCTTTAAATAGAAATTTAAAGACAGAAGTAAAAAGACAGTCCCTTTAAACAGAAATTTCTTTCTGTTTAAACATTTTTATTTGTTTTAGAGCGTGCTGAAACTCTGAAAGGGTTTAAAGCGGCCAAAGGCCTAGATGAGGTTGCTGGAACTCTCACAGGAAATCTGGACTGGGGGTCTTGAGGTTGTTGCTTAATCATGGAGTGGTGCTTCCTCCTGCCCAGGGCTTCCCTGTCGGGTGCTGCTTTACTGCCCTTATCTTTCACCAGGGTTTGAAAAACCTGCCAGCGAGGCTTTGAACTGGGTTGTTTGGCAAGTGCAGGCCACTCCTCCGCTTCTCCCAGCTGGAGCGCAGCCCAGTCCTGCGCAAAGCTTCACACCCGGCCTGTCACCAGCGGCCGGGGACTCTCTTTTCTCTCTTTCCCTGTCAGGTTTTCTCCGGAGGCGACGGGACCTTTTTCCCATGTTCCGTGAGGTGCTGCGGGGCCCGTTTCCAGCCAGAGCGCTGCCGTTCCTGGCAGCCGTGCTTTTCCAAAGGAAGGAGAGGAAAGAGACTGGGTTTTATCACTGTCGGGTAAGACAAATTGCAGCGCTGTCTTTGAGACAGCGTTCCTCGGCCAGTGCCTTCAGCAGTGACACCCTGATCCTGTACGTGTGGAAAAGCAGTCCTGCACTTCTGCAGGAATGAATCAAAAAGTTTATCATTAGGGGGAAATTTTGGAGAGCATTAATGCTAATGGAGATTCCAGGTTTTTGTTAAATTCAGGGTCTGTGTGAGGCAATCCTTAGGTTTTGGGGAACAGAATTAAGTTGATGCCGTGTACTTTTTTGGGGGGGAGAATCCAGAATACTGCACTTCCCATTAGTAGTGTCAAAATAGTGCTTATGTGTTTTCTTTCAAAATATCCTTGATATTCTTTTCTTTTCTGCTCTTTACCTTATCCCACAGGGCTTGATAATCTAAAGTAGACAAAGATTAATGACTTCACCCCCTGTTCCTAATGCAGGGGAACCACATTAGATAAGGTGGTTTCCATGTGTTTGTCCTTTAACTGGTGTATAATTACTCCATTGTATAAGATGGTCTGACCAATAACCTCGATTTTGAATTGCACTAAATGTTGGTGAAGGAGCCTTTGCCTAGGAGATCTGATCTGTCATCTGACTGCCTATCCCGTGTCTATGTTGTCCCCCCCGAATCTACAGCTTAAAATTGAGGTGACCGTTAAATGTCACAAGATGGCTTGCTGCCTGTGTGCCTCTCTGCATTTCTGCTTGCTCTGAGATAATTTTTATCTTGCTGACTTTTTTTGTGTTGTTATTTAGTACTTGGGAAGTCAGAGTAGGAGACTAGTGTTAGCCTGCTGTGATTTCCATTAACCTGTAAATCACTGGATGTGATGTTTCCCCTCAGGTGCTTACTTATATAGCAAATAATAAAAAATTAATAAAAATAATAAAAAAGTATTCTGGGCTGTAGAAAAGTAAAGACTACTGGGTCCTGTAGCCGGGATAACCTGTTTTGCAGTGACTTGCTGCTGCATCAGCATGTTCAGATGAAGGATCACAGCTGTTAGCAGGGCTGAGTGTGTGCAAATTCTGTCTCATACCCTAATTTACAGATTTCAAGTTTTTTTTTGGCTTCAGATGCAGTCTCCTGAACTCTGGAAAAGGGGTGATTCTGAAAAATCATTCAGCTGCAAAGTAGAAATTGGCTGCTTGCATCCATTGGTGTGCTGTCACGTAGGCAGAACTGTCATAATTTGTTGTTCGTATCCCAAACAGATTTCTTCCCTGCTTTTTCCCTGATAATTCAGAGCATATCTGATGCTCTCATGCTTCATTACTCTGCAAGCTCACCTCACAGCATGTTGTGACCTTGCTGTGCCTTGGCTAAGATAAGTGGAAAAGGCATAATTTACAGCACAGACTTGGAAGCACAGTGAAATCTTTATTGTGTTATATGCCCTTAAATTATGATCTAGGTGTGGAAAATGTATCCTCAGCTGTGTAATGATGTCTAATCAAAGGTTGTTAGTGACCTTTGGACAGGACTTTCTTTGAACATGTAACTGTACATTGACAGATGGTGTGCAATAAAAGAAGGATATGCTATCTTCAGGGTGTTCTGTGCTTCCTCTGCTGATAAGTGTCAGAATCCCAGGCTATAGTCAGGCTACGTGAGTGAAGATTGCTTTGGCAGCAGTAGGGGTGTGGTTGTGTAGCTCATTTCTCAACAGCCCAAAGAGTTGCTGCACCTTTAGGCCGTTGGTGAGAGTAACATATGCAATCTTGAATTCTTCTCTGTAGAAAATGAATGTGGAGTAGTGTCCACTTGTGAAAAGCATTTTGAAATGGGATTTAAGAGTAGAAAAGGTTCTTAGCTGGCCAGGATTGTGTCATAACTGATGGAAATGAGGCAGAATCCCACTTTCACGACCCTTTCACAGTTGGTTCTGGGCAGTGTCTGCACTCAGTCTCTTCAAGCTGTTTTCTCTCGTGTTCCCCTGCCCTCCCACAACTTCTCCTTCATGATCTTCTGGGATTCAGTCAGGCTTTTTTTTCCTCTTCACGTCTGGGCATTGAGATACTGATAGTACTTTCCAAAAATAGCCTTCTGGAAGCTTTAAGAGCAAGGATTACATTTTTTTCTATGCTGGTAAAGTGGTGTGCACACTTAGAGTGCTGATGTCAGCAACAGTCCAGAATAAAAAAGAATTTAAGGTTTGTCTTTTCTTGCTCAAACTGCCATGAAGTATGTGTTCCTACAAGAAAGTGTTTTTTTTTCCTCATTGTAAACAGCATATACTTTCTGTGTCTTTAGATCATGCTGTAAGGAGTCTACTATTACTCAAGCATGCGTGCCTGTGCCCTTGGCAAGTAGCCTTAAACTAGCCAAGTCATGATTAAAATTGAGCTGCTTCAGCGTCTGTTTATACTTCATTAGGAATGAACTAATGAAGCAATTCAAAATTGATCTATAATTAGAGGAAGCCCTAAATAAGGGACTTATTTTCTGAAGTCTGGGAGGAGTTACCCTAAGACATCACTCATTGGGCTGAAAGGGAACCAAGTTTCCTTCTAGGCTCCTTTAGTTTTCTTCCAGGACACTGAAAGTGCTGCATGTCTTCCCAAAATTACTCATGAATAGTTTATTTTGCACTGGCTGGTCTGATCCATTTCTCAGGACTGATATTATCGTGGTTATAGAACAGGCATTGCTGTTGAGTTACATGCTGAGCTTGTTCCTCTCTTTTCAGTGGGAGAAGCACCCTTACTACAACCTAACAGTAAAAGTCCTCCGAGCCAGAAACATCAAGGGTACAGATCTGTGTAAGTATTTAATCAAGGTGACAGATGGTTTGTTCAGTGCATATCTGTAACACAGGTAATATTATTATGGGAACTTCTTACCTACACAGAAAGTAGGTAAGCCTTTATGCCTGAACAAAGGCTTCTCTTGTAAAGCATTATAAAAGCCTGATGTGAGGCCAAGCTGTACATTAACCCTGCTACTTCACAGAACAAAATCAGGTAAGTCCTGGTAATGTTTATCTTCCCTGCTCCTTTACATGTCCTATTGTGGCCCATTCTGTGTTCCTTTGTCTGGAATCAGCTCTCCAGTCATGGCAAATTTCACCCTTGCTCCTGCTGAACATTCTTCTTGCACCTGGGAGTAGCAATCTTCATTTCTAGCTTCCAAATGTGTATTTTCTCAGTTCAGCAAGGTGTTCTTGCTGCAAGGAGGGCTAACAGTATCCTGGGCTACATTAGGAAGAGGATTATTGCCAAGAGGACAAGCAAAGTGATCCTTCCCCTCTGCTCAGTTCTGGTGAGCCTGCATCTGGAGTAGGATCTAGTTGTAGGCTTTCTGCTACTAGCTACTGAATAGAGTATAGTGAAGGGCCATTCAGACGGTGAACAGACTGGAACATCTCTCATATGAGGAAAAGCTGAGAGATCCAGGACTGCTTAGCCTGCAGAACAGAAAGCTCAGGGGGATCATACTGACGTGTGCAAGTTCCTGAAAGGAGGGTATTAAGAAGATGGAGCCAGACTCTTTCAGTAGTGCCCAGTGACAGGAGAAGAGGCAGTGGGCCTGATATCAGCGATAAGCATTTTTGAAAAGCTGATCTTCCTCATTTTGAATAGTAGTTTCCTTTATGAAGGGCTTTATGGTTTGGATGAACCAGAAAAAAGAAATATAGGTACCTAATGTTCAATTTGCTGCTCCAAGAGACGTACTCCATTAAAGATTTCATTAAGGTCCAGCCTTAAATTTGCACATTTCTGTGATGCAAGGAGAAGTAAAAAATTAGGAGCTCATGGAAAAGAATGTGTTTGATTAAAGTTATTCTGATGTCTATCTCTACACTCTCTGCTCTAGTGTCAAAGGCAGACTGCTACGTGGAACTAAAGCTGCCCACGGCGTCTCCTGTTGTCTCCCGAACTCAGGTTATTGACAACTCTGATAACCCAGAATGGAATGAGACTTTCCAGTATCGAATCCATAGTGCTGTCAAGGTAAGGAGTCCACTTTGTGTTAGTGTTTACTTTGTGTTTAGTCCATTCAGTCAAGTTTTGCCATCGGTTCCTATGGTCAAGAAAAACAAAATTCAGACTTCTAGATAGAGACAGTACATCTCTCTGCTCTCCAAGCAGGACCTAACAGAGTATTGAACAGAGTCTTCAGACTGTCAGCATTAATTCTCAAAGTAGACACTAATGGGAGAGGGAAGAAGGAAACTGTACTTTAAAAGATTAGTTTTAGTATGGCACTGTTATTTTGAATAACATCCTAGGCTTTGGAACAAGGTGCTTATTAACAAGAAGCTATCCCTCTCACTGGAGTACCTTACCATAGGAAAATTATGAACTAAGCTTTAGAGCATCTGAGCTTTTGTTTTGCCTTGCAGGCTCATGAGGCCTCAGTCTGGTTACTGCTGTGAGGCTATGCCAGCACAATTCTAAGTTCAGTTTTGTCTCTTTGAAAACTAGTTGCTGCAAGGCCATTTTTTGGGTGCCGTATCTACTCACTGTGTCTATTTTGAGTAGTTTCTGCTGGACTTGGCTGCTCTGAGACAGTGCTGAGCTGCAAGTGATAGGTCTCTGTAACATCCTGGGCTGAATCATGATGAAGGGTGGAAATTGCTATTCCTTCCCCAGGCAGATCTGTGCCTGAACCTGGTGGAGAGTACTGCCACGAGCATTCAGCTGGTGCCTCTATTTGGGAAGCTCAGAAAATCTTTTAGCTAAACACTGTCAATTAGGAGCTTTTTGCTTAACTATGCTATCAGTCATGCTGGAAATAGTGAATTATCTTCAGGAGTGGGAAAGGGGAAGAGTACTGATAAAGTGTCTATTGTATACTGCTACTCGGGTTTGTGGAAGTGTTTCTGTCTCTTCATCTAAGGCTATTTTTCTTCTGTTTGATTTTAGAACATTCTGGAATTGACACTCTATGATAAGGATGTCCTCGTCAGCGATGAGCTCACGTCTGTTGTCTTCGATGTAGGAGGCATGAAGCTGGGTCAGCCCCTGCTGCGCACTTTCAAACTGAACCCTGAGGTTAGTCCCTGGCTTCTTCCCAGGTCAACTGTGAATCTCTGTGGCTCCTCATTACAGAAATCCAGCAGTACATGCTGGTTGATTTGTTGCTGTTGTAGAAGCCAGAAGGGGAAAATGCATCAGCAGGTGATGACATCATATATGGTTTACTGTCATCTGAGATGTTTTTAAAATCTCTAGTGCTGGTTTTTTTTTTTTTGTGTGTGCGTTCCACAGTCTTTGGGATGCCCAGCTAAATGAAACTTGGGATGACTGCTATCTTTCAGAAGAAGTTAAAGCACTTTTAAAGGGAATTTATTTTTTAGGAGACTGGAAGGACATAAACTAGGCTTAAAATGACAGGCATTTGCAGTCAGCAATCATTATGGGGACTGCAGTGTCTCTCATTTATTTGATCGTTGTCAGTTTGCAGTGAAGTTTATTGCTGCAAAGGTTACCTCTCTATTTTATGTGTCAAAAAGCCTAAAAAAAAGCTTATTTTCACTGAGTTGTGTTTGGTTACATTTAACCTCTGCTTCACGTGGGTGACATAGGTGTGTATTAGTTGCTCGCAGTCCCTGTGCATCTTTTTGTGGACTTGCACAAGACAACTTGTTTTACATAGCTAAAGCCATATCACCAGTCTGATCTTTGTTTTTTTGTAACTGCCTCAAACACATTGCTACATTAGGTCTGGATTAAGGGTAAGCTAATGATGTGTTTTCTTGAGAAATCGAGCTTCGGCGCTGCTGGTGCGGTCAGAAGCAGACTAACTGGTATCCAGTTAGCAGGGAGGTGTTGGTCAGTGTTGCAGGCACTTTAAATTATTTGTGATCATGGAAAGAGGCTTAGTAACTCCCTTGTTGCCACTAACTCTGTCCTGTTTACTGAATACTTATGTCATCTTCATCAGTAGTTATGGAACTGGAAACTTCAACTTCAGTGAAGAGAATTTCCCAAATTGGCTTCTACTTGGTTACTTTAAAAGTTGTGTTAGGTCTCATATCAAGCACTTACTGTATGTACGCTATGGTAGGGGAAAATATGGCTGGATCAAAGTCCATACAAGTCAAAGACAGCAATGAGCTAAGAGTGCAATTTGCTGGATTAATAAATGGGAGGAAACACAAAGCCTCACGCAAAAACTACTTGCCAAGATGGCAAGAAGAGGGTGTGTTTTTTCTCATTAGCAGAGTAATGCATCCGAAAGCCAACTCTTACTTGTGTGGGCTTGTCTCCTCAAACATAGATATGTCTGGTCATATGGGATATGCCTGGGAAGACAGGAATGTTTAAAAAATAATGACAACAAAAGGCACAAATTTAAACCTTCCAAAATTTAGCTGGAGCTTTTCTAAAAGTAACAAAACCAGTATAGTTTTTAAGAGGAAGAAAGCTTAATCTCTTTGAAAAACTTCTCATAATTATATTTAAGATTAAGGGTCACCTGAGTCCAACTTTTATTTTCAAAGGCTAACGAAGAGCTGGATGTAGAGTTTTACTTGGAGAAATGGTGAGTCTTACCTGAAGAGCTGAAAAACCGTGTTGCCTTGGTGACTTTTTCTGTGCAGGGACAGTCTTGCTGATAAAAGGCTAATGCTTTGCAATTCTCTGTGGTGTTTGAGTTGATTCGCTTGTGGTTGATCCCAAATATCATTACAACTCTAGTCACCAAAATTTTTGGGGTACCAAAAAAGAAATAAAATTTTTCTGGACTTCATGGGAATGGTAGTGCTGCAAAGGAAACGAACATTTCATGGATGAGTTACCTAGGAGTGGAAAGTTTATGCAATTAACCTGGCAACATAAACAACTGAATACTTTATCTGTCTGATAGTCTATGTAAGCTCAGCTTTTCTCTAAGTTATTGTCATAACTGAGATGGGGAGTTGTTATAGTACATGCTTATAGTTGTACAGGAATGTTTTCTTCAGTATTTCACTCCTTCCCCTCTCTTTTTCTGTGAAGGGAAATATACTTGTGTCAGTTTAATTTGCATAGATCTCTCACAGTGAGGACCTTTGTCCCTCACCTCTTATCTGGGCAGTTAGCTTGGAAAGTAGGATGAAGCAAATTAAAACCAGAACTCATTTGCATTAAATCTCCTCATTTCACAGCTCAGATGCCCCTATAGAGGTGTTGACCAATGGAGTCCTTGTGGTGAGTACATGGAAGTCAATCACATACATGTTGAGATTTACTCCTGAATGTAGAGTTTTAGTAGTGAGAGAACAAGAATTGTTGAGAATTCAGCTCCTGCATCCAAATAGCTCCTAGTCTCTCCAGCATCTGCCTCTCTCTTTTAATTTGCTGGTTTAAAAAGCTTCCTTAATTTTCAAAACTTCATACCAACTCACAGAAGGGGTGATTGTTCTGGGTTTTTTTCCCCCCCAGTGGAGCTATTTTAAAAGATGTAAACAAAAAATTGTCTTTAGGAGGCTATAGTACAGTCTTTAAGATTGTACTGAGCTTTCTAGCCTAGATGCTTGCCAGGTGTAGTTGCCTCAATTTATCTTAACACCTGTTATTTCTAAGCTTTTATCAGCACCATAAGGAAGTAGATGGTAACTCTTGGGTTTGAGAGTGGGAGGCTTCACCTTGAGGGATTTGTCTATTCTCTTGGGGCAGTCAATCTAAGAAAATCAATGCATTATATATTAAAAATACAGATGTTACCACCTCTTTACTCCTACCAAGGGAAAGGGACAGGAATGATGTTTTTTAATAAGGAGAAAAGGATGGGAAAGAGTTCATCATTGTTGAAACATAGGGTTTTAACATTTTTTAAGGAAAAAATGGTACCCTTTAACAGCACAGTTCTGCGAACTATTTCACAGGAGACAGTCTTTCGTGTTCCTATTTCCCTTAGCAAATCAGTCTTACATTCAAGCAGTGGAGTAGTTTTTTATCTTTTTTATCTTTTAGATCAATTATGTCCTAGAAAGGAAGCTGATAATTGAATGGTGTGAGAGACTAAATTTCATGAGAATGTGGACAATCCAGGACAGAAAGTTCTGGCAGAATTCAAGTTTAAGTGCTTGCTTGTATCTGAACAGTTTCTGAACATGTACTCACATATGCATTAAAAAAAAAGGTAAAACAACAGAAGAACCCCAGGTGTTGAGAACTTGTAGTTATGACACATTGATTGTTAAAAAAAAAGTAACTGGAATAGGAAGGGTGGTGTTGATTTTGAAACAAGCAAATAGTCCTGTCCTACTGAAAGAAATTTGCTCTTTATTTGAATGATCAAAATAATCCTTGGTGGTTTTTTGACAGCTTGAGGCTGCAAACCTACCTCTAATGTAATAGGTGGATTAAGCTTCAACAAAGAAGTGAACTAAAATCTTGTAACAAGAGCTGGCTTCTTCTTTTCATAGGTTCATCCTTGCTTGTCTCTGCAAGGCACTGTCAACATAGAGGAAAAAGCAAAAGAGAACCAGCAAGGTAGGGCTGCCTGCACAATTTAAGTCAAATCTACTTTTCAGCCTGTTTATTTCTTGTGAGAGAGGGGAGACTTGATTCTTTGTCTATACAGTGCATTTTTATCTATTGACTATAAAACTGACTTCTTAGGTTAATCTTGCTTTTATTTTTAATACTAAATAATATTGGGTCACTTCTACTGGGTGCCATACTAGAGATTTTGCTTGTGTTTTCAGCTACTCTTACCAAATATCTGATTTTCAACATTTATTTAAATGGCTCCTGTGGTCTGAACTTCTTATTCTAATGAACAGGAAGCTGTGAGGTCAAGCTGTCTGTTCCAGGGGCATATCAGAAGCAGTTGTGTATTCCTTGGAGACCAGATAATGAGCAGGATTATGGAACCTCCTTTGTCTTTCATGTGGATAAAGAAATGTGTCCAGAATTGCAAGTGGAGCTGGAGCAAACCATATCTGTCCTGCAGGTAAGCATCCCCTGTCACTGCTACAAACTTTACAGCCTGCTTTTGAATAAATCCACTTGGAAATTAGTGCCTTTGGTCCATAAAAAAATGTCCTTAAACTTAAATTGAGTAGCCTTAATTTGATCATAGGAAGGCCAGGGACTTCTTCAGATGTTCAGGGATGTCAGGTTTGGGTGTATTATTCATGTATGTGTGGATGTCAAAAGCTTGCATTGGAAGCAAGTTTCTTGTGGAGTACTCTGTGTATGCGGTGCGCGCAGCTCTGTAATGAGAGAGCTTGCTGCTTCCTAATGCAACATGGGAGAAAACACAAAGATTTCCTGGCAAACTTTAATTTGCCATGCTTGTAAAAATTACTATGTTTTTTTAATTACATGCTCCCGAAATGTGTCCAGAATTGCAAGTGGAGCTGGAGCAAACCATATCTGTCCTGCAGGTAAGCATCCCCTGTCACTGCTACAAACTTTACAGCCTGCTTTTGAATAAATCCACTTGGAAATTAGTGCCTTCGGTCCATAAAAAAATGTCCTTAAACTTAAATTGAGTAGCCTTAATTTGATCATAGGAAGGCCAGGGACTTCTTCAGATGTTCAGGGATGTCAGGTTTGGGTGTATTATTCATGTATGTGTGGATGTCAAAAGCTTGCATTGGAAGCAAGTTTCTTGTGGAGTACTCTGTGTATGCGGTGCGCGCAGCTCTGTAATAAGAGAGCTTGCTGCTTCCTAATGCAACATGGGAGAAAACACAAAGATTTCCTGGCAAACTTTAATTTGCCATGCTTGTAAAAATTACTATGTTTTTAAATTACATGGTCCCACACAAAGATTTCCTGGCAAACTTTAATTTGCCATGCTTGTAAAAATTACTATGTTTTTTTAATTACATGCTCCCGTTTGTTCATAAGGCTATTATCTTATTTCCTATTTTGTGGTTTTTTTTTCCTGTATGTCTAATGCTGTTGCTTTCTTGGTATCTTTTCCAAATCCCACTTTGAAGACAGAATGCAAGTTTACTTGTGAGCTCTCTGACAGACATCAGACCACAATTATTTTTTGGGAAATTTTATATTTGGAAATGAAGATTTTTTGCTTGTGACAGACTGCTATAATAATAATAAAAAGGCAGCTATTCGAGTGACAGGAATAATCCCAGCAAAGATCTGTCAGAGAGCAGGATGATCTTGAAAAGCCTTAGACTTTTGGAAAAGATTTAGTTATAATGGTCTTAAGGTTTGCTTGCTGTTTTGACATATGTAAGTCATATCTTTAACTTTTTTTCTGGAGAGCTCAAATAACATTTTGCTTTTTTTTTATTAGGATGGTATGAACCATGATATTGAAAAGCATACTACAGTTCTGGCCTCCCTGGGCAGCCTGTTCCAGGGTTCCGTCACCCTCACCGTGAAGAAGTTTCTCCTCATATTTGAGTGGAACCTCTTATGTTCCAACTTGTGCCCGTTGCCCCTCGTCCTCTCGGTGGGAACCACTGAAAAGAGTCTGGCTCCCTCCTCCTTCAACCCTCCCTTGAGATACTTGTAGGATGATCTTGAAAAGCCTTAGACTTTTGGAAAAGATTTAGTTATAATGGTCTTAAGGTTTGCTTGCTCTTTTGACATATGAAAGTCATATCTAACTGATTTAGTTATAATGGTCTTAAGGTTTGCTTGCTGTTTTGACATATGTAAGTCATATCTTTAACTTTTTTTCTGGAGAGCTCAAATAACATTTTGCTTTTTTTTTATTAGGATGGTATGAACCATGATATTGAAAAGCATACTACAGTTCTGGGATTGGGGACTGTACCAGTTAATTCCCTTCCTATTGGGCAAAAAGTTGATAGGATCGTTTCTCTAGGAGAGGTAATGTCAACATTTTAAACTTTTTTAATGTGCTTGGGATAACTTTTCCCCCATTTGGAAAGTTAAGCTGCACATGATTCTTCGGGATGCTGTTTTGTTGGACATCTAGAACGAAACACTGAGATTACTCAGTGCAATTCTTCTAAAATGTTTTTATGGTTGGGTCTTGCAAAATAAATATAAAGTTCATCACTTTCCAAAACAAGAAGTCTGTTAGGGTGTGAAAGTAAAATATCAGAGGAGAAGAAAAGCAAGAAGCTTGCAGAAGAAAGAGGGGTTTTTTTCCCACCGTGCTCTCCGAATACATATTTTTACTTTCTCTGGAGACTATTGAAAATGTCTGAAATTGTTGCAAGGGAAAGGTGTTCCAGAGATGTAGTTTTATGGGTAAGAGTGCTGTTCTGATTAGTATCCAATGATCACATTGATGTCATAACCTCTAGTTAGTAGTTCCACCTATGTAGTTGCTATGGATTTCAAGATGTGTTCTCTCTTTTCACAGGGACAAAGTTTGGATATGAGTTTGAAAACTGAAGAAAGGTGAGTGGGAACCTCAAAGACCTCTAAAAATCAGGAAAAGCCTTTATTCTCGTAGTGAAGGAGCTGAGTCACTCTCCCCACTGCTCTGGGGAGGTCTATTTTCTCCACTGATCTCTTGGGATAGATTAAAGAAAAATAATATCTGGTTATTTTTCTTCTGCAGGCTGTGACTCTTCACTTTGCAGATACTATCTATTGGATTGACATAAATTCTGCTGAAATCTGAACAAATTTTATGTTCATAATACTTAAATGTAAAATAGCTGATGGTGTAAATATTCCCAGAATATGTCCAATGCTGTACTGACAAATCAGAAAGGGCATCTCAGTGTGTGAAGAGCTTGAACTATAAAATAGAGAAAAGGTGAAAGAAAGAAGCGATAAGGAAAGAATCGAGCGGTTAGCTTGTAAGGTGATAGGGTCATTTGATCTATAGTCATTAACTGAAGATCCTGATCCTGTGAGTTTTACAAACTCACAGCAAGTTTACTGGTATTCAGTTGTCCTCTCTGCCTCTAAGTTCAGAAACTTCCTTTTTAAAATCACTCTTCCCCTCATTTCTCCATCCACGTCAATCCAGTGATCTCAGTTGCTCCTCATACAGTCATCTTCACATACTGAATCTTTTCTTCCTTTGTGAAATTCTTGAACCCTTATCTGAATACTGCTTGACACAAGCTTTGTATTTAGGGAAATTTCAAAAGCTGTTGTTACACAATAGTTGGTGTATAGACATACACTAAAACTTAATTTAAGAGTTTGCTCTAGTGGTTCAGATCAGTACCTAGATTGTACGTTCACAGAAATTGCTTTTCCTTGGTAATTAAAAATCCTCCACATTTTTTTTTTTTCTTAATTTCTATTTCAGCACTTGGGATCTTGATGTACGCCTGGGTTTTGACCTCTGTAAAGAGGAGAGAGAATTTCTGGACAAAAGGAAGAAAATAGTTTCTGAGGCACTGAGAAAGACTCTTCACTTAAAACAATCCCCTCCAAAAGATGAGGTATTGAGCACAGTGCTGTAATGAGATCCCTAAAATCCTTTGTGCTTGATGATGATTAGGTATTGTAGGATTCTTTGTCTGTACCCAGCAGAAAACATGATTTGCATTCACTATGGTGTGAGATAAATCGCTGTGACGTTTCAGTTCTGAAGCCTCAAATGTTGTTATATTACTAAAATTTTGAAGGGGGTATGTGTGTTTTGGAATGCAAAATAAAATGTAATTTCAGAATGTGTGTATTTTCTGTAGTTGAGCTCTTGTATCTTGCCTTGGAGCTCTGAATTGTGATGGGAAAGTCTGTTTCAGAGTGGTTAAATTGAAGCTCTGACCACAGGAACAGCTTCCTAATTGTTGGTTTGAGGACAGCTTTATATCTAGGTAGCCTGATATCTTGCTCTGTGATCCTTGGGTGCTGTTATAAGAATGTTTGCCTATTTTTGTTCTTACGTGTATGTTGTATGGCATGCAAGAAAGGTGTGATAATATACACAACACTTTCACTAAGTGACTGTCCCTAAGATGACATTGCTGTGTTTTAGAGTAAACAACGTATTTCAATTACAAAGCAGAGAAAGAAGTTGGTTGAAATAAAATCTGAAATTTCTTGAAATGTAAATAGAAATAGAGATTTTATGTCTTATTTTTATATGAAATGAGGCTTAAATGGGATTAATTCTGTAACTGATTGGCAATTCAAAAGTTTGAACTTTAGTGACTCCTGAGTTTTCTGTCTGCAGGTTCCAGTCGTAGCAGTGCTGGGGTCTGGAGGTGGGATGAGAGCATTGACATCATTCTACGGGAGCCTTGCTGGGCTTCAGCAGCTGGGCCTTTTGGATGCTGCAACATATCTGTGTGGGATTTCTGGCTCTACCTGGTAAGCTACATCCAGTGTTGATTTCAGAAACTTACAGGTGAATATGATAGTGTTTATGCAGAATATGGCCAAAACTGCATTTGTGCCATCTGTAGACGGACAACGAAGTCAAATGTTTTATCAGTTCTCACCTGTGAGTTCTGATGGGGAACCTGAAGAGCCTAAGAGATTTATTATCACTTCTCACACATATACCTACTGGCTAAATTTACGAATCTGCTGCTTTTGCAAGCCTGGCAGTTGAATATTAGAATGTATTACATGAATAGGAGTGGTGTACGTTCCCTCAGAGCCCTGCCTTCAAAAACTTTCCCCATTTCCTTGCTCTTGCCAAGAAGATAACTGCGGTGGTGCAAGTCACTGGAAATACACCCTTACGGGTCACTGTGTCACCATCTTCTAAAATGGCATATGTGACTGAATAGAGGAATAGCACCAGCTTGCCCTTTGGGGGACTGGAGCAATGTGCTGAGACGTTAGACATAGTTAGAATGTTTCAGTAGCCAAGTTTTTGGAGTTTGTGGTGAAATCATCCCTCGTAAATGCACATTGTGTTTGTGAAATGGTTTCATTGAGGAGTTGTGCAACCTGACAGTAAAATCCTCCCTTCCAGAGCTTTGTGTGTTTAATTAACTCCTGTACCTGGTATTATCTCATTAGCCTTGTGTTCTGGCATGCCCCTTTTGATTCAGGGACAGACTTTCATACAAAGGAAGGCATCTGTTCATGGTGATAGCCAATAGTCCAAACTAGTTTCTTGTTTAATCAGACCTGTAGCCTCTGTTTTGTTGTATGCAGTAGCACTGTTGCTGTCTGTCCATCAATTAGGGCTGTTGTGGCCTGGAGTTAACTCATATTTATGACCTGGTTCATGTGTGCTAGTGTATGATGCTTGGGATGTCCTTGAGAGGTAGGTTAGCAATCAGGATGAAGCTGTCCTGTAGAGTGCCAGGATTTTCAGCCTGTTTTGGAGTTCAGAGATCCATTATGTGTGGTCTCTCTTCTCTTCATGATGTTTTATCTTCTAGCTAGACTTCTCAAGCTTTTGGTTCGGAACTGCAGTGCTAATTGTAACTAGCTAAAAGTGTTGTTTACACAGGGGTCATTATTACTGATGACATTAATATGAGCATTTTCAGGTGTTTGTCTACACTGTATCAAGACCCTGACTGGTCACAGAAAGACCTTCAAGACGCAATCAGAAGAGCTCAGGGTATGGTGTCCGGCAGCAAAGCAGGGGCATTTTCCCCTGAACGACTGAAATACTATTTCCAGGAGCTGAATGCAATGGAGATGAGTGGACGGAATGTTTCCTTTACGGATTTGTGGGGCCTTATTGTGGAATATTTCCTACAACAGAAGGTAAAAGAGTTCATGTTTGGATGTACACTGCTGTTTGTCTTCCAGGTGGGAGCTCTGCCCACCCACATGTTGTGTCAAGAAATCAATTACTATATTCCAGAACAGCTCACAAAGGTGGAGGTGGAGGTGTGGAATAAACACAGGGAATTCTCATCTCTTTCTGCCCCAGGTTTCCCAGCACACTTCTTTACTAAAGAATTTTGAAGTCATATACATCAGTGCTGTAAAAAAGTAGAGTGTTTATTTGGAATGACTGTTGTTAAATAGATTTTGATTGGGCATGTTAAGCGTGAGAGAATTATGTTGGTTTGGTAAAATGGCATTACTGTACAGTATTATTTATGCCAATTGAAATCTGAAATCAGAGGGGTAACTAGTTTATTAATAACATCAGACATCGTAAACATGCAACTGCTGAAATATTCTGGCAAAACCTAACTATATGCATGGACAGAGGCAGGAAAAGGGGTTTGAATTCATAGTAGTGTTAGTTAAAAATGCTAAGCAACAGCTTCAAAACATCAAAGTATTTGATATCAAATTATCAAACTGACTAAAGTGTGTTTTTCCTTCCTTGCTTGTAACCAGGAAGATCCGTCAAAGCTGTCTGATCAGCAAGAAGCAGTGAAATGGGCCCAGAACCCCTATCCTATCTATGCAGCTGTCAATGTGAGACCCAACATTAGCAGTGGTGACTTTGCAGGTATGAACATGCCAAATTTATTTCTGTTGGCTGAAATCTATAAATTCCTTTTACATATCCAGTTGTTCCTTGGGTACTGAGTAGCTGAAAACAGGAAACTTGGCTCAAGCAGCAGCTAGTAGTGCAAGAGGCATTAGGATACTGATTGGCAGAATGTTATCGTCCTGATTGCAAATGGCTATGATGGAGAAATGAGATTCAACTCTGCTGGCCACTCTACACGTTTTGCTAGAAAGTGCCTGAAATTTTCAGGAGCGGAGAGGAAAGGTTCTTATAGTACACAAGTCTGCATTTGAATTGGAGAATTGAAATCCTTGGTAATTAAGTAACCTACTTTCTTTTATAGTCTCAGATAATCAGCTTCTGTAGGATTCATGTAAAAGGATGGATTGGCAACATCATCAAAACTGATATTTAGCAGCTCCTTAGGGGACACTTTGATAAGCAGGCAATAAAGTCTGAGATGGTGGATCAGTTGAGATTTGAAGCAGTACTGTGATGGTTAACCACCAGAGTGGTTTAAAGTGAAAGCAAAATAGGCAGGTTATTTCTGCAATGACAAAGTCATGATGGAGAGAGATGGGATTTTTTTTCCCCAAAAGCCAAGAAGAAAGGATGATGTTTTGAATTGAAAGGAGATTGTATTGAGTCAATGAAAGCCTGTACAAGAGTTTTTATTAATCACGTGTAAGATAGGGGCTGACTGAGAACAGTGACAGGGAAATCCATACTGATGGTGAAGAAATGGAGGGAAACTCCCTTTTGTCTCCCTTGTGTAAGCAGAACTCAAACGAGTATTTTCATCTATGTTTACTCTGAGATGAATAAAATGTTTACTTGTTCTTAGAATGGTGCGAATTTACTCCCTATGAAGTTGGGTTTCGCAAATACGGAGCTTTTATCCGAACAGAGGACTTTGACAGTGAGTTCTTCATGGGACGCCTCGTCCAGAAACGTCCCGAGCCTAGGATTTGTTTTCTACAAGGTATGATGTTCAAGTAGTGAATAAAAGGGGGGCACAGAAAGCAGCCACGTTGCTTTTGGGACTCATTAACTTAAACATATGTCTTTTTCCTAAAGAATTTGAAGAAGGGGAAAATGTCAGCTCTTTCTCCAAAGGTTTAGATATCATTTCATAGTATTACAGTATTACTATCAGATGTTATTACATAGTATACAGTATTACTATCAGATGTTCTTGAGTCTGCAAGAGGACTATTATGGGCTGCCTGTCCATAATGAAAAGACTTTGAAATACGAAACTATTCTATATTTCTCCTGCAGGAATGTGGGGCAGTGCCTTTGCTGCAAGCTTGGATGATATCTGTCTGAAGGTTGTTGGTCTAGGATTGAGCTTTCTAGACTCTTTCAAAGATGTTATCAAAGTTGTAGGTAAGAATATACTTAAAAATAGTTGGATTTTTTTTAAGGATTCCTGGTTTTGGAATGATTATACAAATAATATGACTCAAAAATGTGCTGTGTGTAGTTTTCAAGATTAGCATAAAGGGTGGATTTGGACAGATCCCAATACTGTATATTATTCCCTTCTGTCACACATATAGCATATAGTGAAGAGAGCAACTATAATTTTCAGTACACTTTCTGTTCTCTTTTTAAAATTTGACCTTGACTATAAATTTGGGTTAGTTCTGGGAACTATCTTAAACACATATAGCAGTGCAGGCGTCTTAATCATGAGAAGAGGAAGAATAGAAGCTGGATTGCTAAGCAGGAAGTAGAAAATAGGTTTTCACTTCCCTCCTTGGACTGATTTGGATAACTTCGGATACGATGGTTGTATGTTTATGCATTGTTCTCTCTTTGCATGATGTCTCCCTAGCAGTGAAAAGGAAGTGTATCAAAGGCTGAGAGTTACTCAGATGCATAGTTACAGCCTCATAGTAAGTGAGGGGAGATTTTTTTTTTTCTCTGCTTTTACAGCCCTAGTTTTTTTTTTGCTTAACACTTTTGTTGTTGTAACTATAAATGATATTGTGTATGGATGACTGTTGCTGTCTTAAGAGACAGAAGTGGTTGTCATTTGGTAACAAGGGTTTCTTGGTGTGTATTTGAAATTAATATGGACAAGTATTTATGAGTAATGCTTTAAATAGGGGAGGTAATCCAACTGTAGAATGTACAGCTCACTTAAATTTCTTTACAATACTTTTGTACTAGAGGACAAATTCAGACTTAGGACAACTGATTAAACATCGTAGGAAAAAAAAGTTTGAGGTGTTGGAGCTATGCAAATGTTTGCTGTGTGTTCTGCATCTCTCTGTGGCTTCTGCAGATGACTGCCGAAGATCCCATTTGCGAGATCCAACTCGACTGAAGACTCGCTTGGTTATACCTGGAGGCCCCTTGTTACAAATTTTCCAGGATTTCTTCAAGTCCCGTGTCACATGTGGAGAAACCTTCAACTTCATGCAGGGGTTGTATCTTCATAAAGATTACGTTAATGTCAAGAAATTTGTGGCTTGGGGAGGTAAATGAGTCTGTCTGTATCTGGGTTGTAACAAAGTGTGTTAGTA